ATTCTATAATTTTGCATTTACGTATATTAAAATAATAATTGGGCAAATTTTGAAAATTACAGTTTTACATAAATGCAAAATACAGGTCGTTAGTGGAGCAAACACGAAATCTTCAGAAATTTTGATAAGTGTCCCTATTCAGAAATTGTCATATGTGAGTATTTTTAGAAAGTGGAATATTGCAGGCGATAATTTGAAATATTTTATTAAAATCATTAATTTTTCTAAAAATGTTTTTAATTCTGTAATAAAAAGAAGAAAAAAAGTTCGCCATTAATTAGCACTTTTATTTACATTCGCTTTCGTAGTCCGCCATTGTTTTCGAACTCACAGTTGTGGGATAAGCAGTTATCATATCGCACTGATTAAGGGGAATTGTATCTGTAGTGGGTTTACATTGGATGCACCCTATTATGTTCCAGTGTACAACATTTAGTTGGTCCGTAATTATGCGGCTTGATGTGGTAGTTTAGTATGTTATTGCATCGATATAAGACCAAGTTTCGAAATAATTAGCTTAAAGGACGGTTTCTCTTCAGAAAAATGATTCAAAAGCTGTAGTACAAGATATTTCTTGCTATTATTTATAAATATTATAATTAAATCCAAATTTAGGTGCATTGCCTTTTAAAATTAAATTGGTTATTGGTCGAAAGAAATCACGTCATGGTATGAGAAGAAATATGTACTATCACCTTTTACTAATAAGGAATTGTAAATTAGATGCATGTTTTACTCTATTTGTAAATAACAACACTTTGGACTTGCAAATATTATAATTTATTTGAAAATCAATCTACCGATGTTAAATAATTACAGCAGTTTAAATATTTGCATTTTAAATTTTCTTGATTAACAGTTTTTAGACTTTGGAAAGGAACAGTAATATAATTTTTCAGGTGTTACAGCAAAGTCTTCATTTACTTTCAGCCAAAGCGTAATTTACTTTAGGACAAGTCATGATTTTCTTTACAACAATTCGTGATTTACTTTAAGTCACGTCTTGGTTTACTTTCAGACCAGTCGTGATTTACTTTCTCTTGAACAATCTCCTGAAGATTCGAGTGAAGCAATGAAAGCATCCTTTCTCTTCTTGTTCAGATTGTTCATTGATGGTAAGCTCAATATCACTTCGTTGCCAAAAATCTATTTCGTCCCTTAAGGGACCATCATGACTTTTCAATCTAAAATTTAAAAGTAACACTCACATTATTAAAAAGTTCAATACAGTTTTTTGTTTTGTTACAACAGCTTCATTTCGAGTTATAAGCTTTTTGTATAGAGTAAAGGGGCTTTAGGTTCAGATAAATTTTCTGAAGCACAAATTTCAAACAACTCGATTTTTACTCTACAATGATCAAAATCGTTATATGATTTACGATAATGAGAAACAATTTCGTGATGGATTTATGATTTTATTTTTCAGATTTATTGACAATATATTTTTGGCAAATTTTTCCTGATTTAAAACTTTTACATGAATCAATTTATCCTAATTGCTTGAAAGTAGTTAAAAATATTCAAAATGATTTTTTGGTCAATTTTTTTGATCAATTTAGCTGAAGTGAAATACATCTATACAATAGTGTGAGGAGCACCAAAAAAAAAGAAGAGAAAAAATCGTTCTAAAAATAATACTTCATAAAGCAAAAATTTCCCCCAAAATTAAAAAGAACGCAAAATAGAACAGAGAATGATGAACAGATAAATGAGAACAGTCGACGGTCATCTCCTTATGGACATCTTGCAAAAATGATTTAAACACATTTTTCTAAAAAATTTGCCAGATTACAAAATATGAAATTAAAGCGAAAAGAAATGATAATCGGATATATTTTTAAGTTCTTACTGACGTATAAAACCACATTTAATTTCTCGCTTACATTGGAATGGATCGAATACTAAACTTGAGTATGGTATTAATATATTATACTGGATAGTTCAAAATTGTGAAGAAATAAAAGGTCGAAGTTCCAATAAAACATTTAAATTCGATGAATTTTTAGAGAAATTATTAACATTTGTTAAAAAATATTTATTGAATATTGGAGAAGATTAATTTTTAGTCATAAAATTTCTTAATCACAGATTTACCCGAAATGGATTTGCTCATGTTAGTTTTCTGTTTAATTTCTTTTTCATTCCCTATGAAAATCATTACTTTACATATGTTCTAAGACAATGTCGATAGTTAAAATGTTTCGAAAAAGTTAAAATACCTATCGTCCTCAATGCCGTACTCGATTGAGTCCTTATCGTGCACCAAATCCATCTTATAGAGTTTCGCTATCTTTACATCGCTGAATAGGAACAATTCCTCACTAAAAGTAAAAAAAAGAAAAGGGAAAAATATATACATAACTTGAAATTCAATAAAGTTATTTTGCTCAATAAATTTTTCGTTAAATGCGAGATATATTTGTAAAGAGAGAGAATTTATTAACTTATCAACGATTACAGATGTTTTAAAAATGCTACGATGTGTAATAATTTATTTTATATTTTGCGTTAATTATTTATTAAAAGAGAAAATGGCCATTATAGATTTTTGTAGAGGTGATAATTACAGTAGCATTTATAAGTAAATTCCAAAATCATGGCTTACTATTTAATAAAAAATTCAGGTAAAAAAATTATGTTTACTATTTAGTTATTTTCCTCATTCATCTTTTATTCAAAACTTATGAAACAGAGATTTCGTTTTTATTCAATTTATATATTTTTTTTCGAGAATCCGTTAATAGACTTTGAAAAAATAACTCATAGTTTTAAAGAAAATACCATAAAAAATATAAAATAATGAAATAAAATCTATAAGAAATATGTTCAGCTGTAATTTTTTTTTCTAGTATAAAATTTTTTAGATCGTTTATACTTTATGCTACTGAATAAAAATGTACTTATTTGCGAATTATTAAATCCATTTTAGAAAATTAGTTTATTCGAGTCACATTATCCTTCCTTCAGCATTTGCATGTTTAATTATTTTATTTTATTAAGTACTCTTGTAAAAAAAAAAATTTCAATGCAAAGATTTTAATCTTTTAAATAATTGCTCGCATTAATTCTGTTCATGCTCAATAAATTCATTTTAAATCATCTGAACCATTGATTCATAGGGATTAATAAAACTTAAAGACATATATGTAGTCACTTACAATTTTAGGGTAATATTTTATTTTAAAATAGTTACGAAAATGTCACCTGAAAAAGGATGAAAAATAACTCAAACACTGAAGATCATTTTAACTAAAATATTAAACTGCCATTAAGAAACATTCTAATTTACATACCTATTCAGCTCTTCAACTCCATCACCCTCATCATCATCATTAAACTCATCCTTAATCTCATAACCAACATCATCACCCTCCTCATCATCATCCCCAACATCATCATCATCAGATGATGGCACTTCAGCTCTTAACTCCATCATATATTCCTCATCACTAAAATTATGAAAGGAATATATTTTTTCAAATCTGTCTGAAGGTAATAAATTTTTATTAAAAAAATGTGTGATTTCTAATGATTTTTTTGCTCTTCGAAGGCGACTTCCAGAGTTTCTTTAGGTTTAGAGTGTGGAAAATAAAACGATGTGTCTTAAGAAATTTAATTTAAATATGTTTTCGATGGTTATTTTATTATTGGGTGAGCATTATTGAAAAAGACTGTTCATTATTTTATGTTTATATAATATCTTAGTTGATTTTTACCAGCAGTAGTGTTTTGTGACCTAAATAAATAAACAGTAAGACCGCTGTTTTAACCCTTTGCGGTCGTATGTCTACTCTCAGCCACCAACACTTTTTTACCATTCCAGTCGTTCGTCTGCTCTCAGCCACCACAGCAAAGATGTTAGCCGCATCGTAATGGTAAACTACATATATTGCGGCACTGTGAAAATGTAAAGAGTAAGGATTGTTCTGTATGTTCAAACAGAAAAATTAAAGGCGGAAGACGCCTAACTAATCATTATTGCGACACATGTTCTCGAATACCTGGACTTCATATTGGAGACTGCTTTGAAAGATAACACACGAGAACTACAAAATATAATTTTTACATAAAATTAAAACATATTATTGTGTTACATATATCTAAAGTTTAAAAAAGAATTAATAAATTTCATTTTTCCTTCATAAATTTGAATATTATGTTTTATTGTTAGTTCATAGAAAATTAATTCCGACCACCATAACTCCCATGTATAAACTTAATACGGCCGCAAAGGGTTAATGTTTCATTGTTTCGAATTGCGTTCTTGCTTTCTGTGTAAATTTTTCAAATACTCAAAAGGGTACTTTCTTCTTGAAAAAAAAAGAAATAAAATTATGGCAAAAGGCATAAAACTTTAGGGATATAACTATACTTACAAATCAATCTCATCCACATCAATATCATCCAAATCGAATTCATCTTCGAATTCGCTACCATCCTCATATGCTGAAATATTAATTAAAATTAAATTTAATAATTTGAATAAAAACTAGTTTTAAAATAATCTCTGAAGTGTTTATTCTGTTCAATAATAAAAGAAATTTATAAAAAGGGTAGAAAATCTTCTTTGAAAAAGGTATGTATTTTTGGAAAAGGTATGTAGTTTACATTTAACTACTTGTATCAAGGTGTGTGCAAATACTCCATTCGGCATTAATTTGAAATAACATATACAATATTTCATAGTTTTTGAACACTTTCGGATAGGTAATTACGCCAGTTTTTATTTATTGTGAATTAATAACGCTCAAATGAGTAAATAACATTCTACCGTAATATTTTGACTTTTTTAAATGTTTGAATCAGATATAGAAAAACATAAAATCTATAACGTATTTATATTTCTCAGTAAAAATGTACAATTGGTTGCCACTTTTCAAGTCTTTATTTGGAATTTTTTCTTTCTTTTTTATGTTCGTATACAAAAAACAGGGAAAACTGTTTTCAAATTGAGATTTTCTTTTGTTTCCGAGAAATTGAGCAAAATAGGAGATAAGAAATCTGGATAGAAATAACTGGAAAGATTTAACATTCAGTATAGGCTTCAGATTGGAGTGCCCAATCCACAAGCGATACCCAATTCTATACTGTTGTGCACCAAAAGTTAAATTGGATTACCCATTTTAAAAAGAGAAGTTTTATTAAATTATCCATAAAGTTGTTTTTTTTCTATTCAAGACAAAAGTATCATTTATAAAATATGCCCAAACATTTTTTGTCAATTTTTTTTTAATGTTTACGACATTTCTCAATATTCAATAAATGTAGGTTTCTGGGAAAAATTTTGATCACTGTAACGAAGTTTCATATCTTTTTAACAATATTCTAGGTCCATATCAATAAATAAAAATTTTAAAAAGTATGTTTTTATGCTTACGATTAGGTCGGGGATACTTTTCCCTTTCCTTTCTCCAATGATTCAAAAGAGCAAAACGATATAAATCGCTTTTATCCATAATTCTCACTTTTTAATCTCACAAAAGACAACCAGCATTTGAGAAATCTCAAACAAGAATGAGTCAAAAAACACTTTTTTAATCGAACTAACAGATGCTTCGTTTGCAACAATGTGAACAATTGTTTAAATAATATCTTGCATAAAATTTTTATATAACTCTCTATTAGTTTATTGTTGTCAAAGTTTCATTGTTAAGTATTGTTGAAAATGTTTTTAAAAGTTGGTTACTCCAAATGCAAGAAAAAATAATATTGATGATCTATTTCAGAATTAAGTTTAAAAAAACTGATTTCTTTCATACATTTTTATTTATTCAAAAGATACAATAGACATAGAAAAAATTATTTTAACTTCGTTTAAGTAAAACGCATAAAAACAGGGAGGAGATCAACTATATAAAAATTTCATTTTTTTTTGGAAATTGACTTTTTAAACTTTAGCCTTCTCAAGGAGTTTATCTATATACTTAGGGCAAATATGGGTTCCACTTCCCCACTACACTATACTAATCTTACATAATTTTATTTATTAATTTATTTCATTTATTAATTTATTTTATACATTAATTTTATTCAGTGTTGCGGAACGAGCTGACTCACCTATTCATGTACTTATTTAGTGGTTTTGAGAAAAAAATTTAAATATCAACTTTTGTAAAAATTTTGAAAATCGATAGTAGAGTGGTTAAAGCACTAAGTTGTCATGATGAAAGTCTGGTTCAATCTCCGGTAGCGTTTCAAAAGTCTACCCAGCATCCAAACGATGGGTGCAAGTTTAGCTGTGAAGTAAAGGCGGTCGATGCGCATTGCTGGAAAGATTGCTACCATTTTGGTGTTTGTTTCCAAATTGTGAAGTTTCAACCAATTTGACACTCTATAACCCATAATGGGATGTTGCTGGAATGTTTAATGTTTTGGGTAAAAATTTAAAACCAATAATCTCTATAGCAACGAAAAACATTAAATGAAAGCTATTTAAAGTAGTGCATTAAATATTTTTAATATAACACAAGCTTCAATTGTATCTTTTATTTTACACTTAAAATAAAAGCTAAATAATACATATATTCTCTCATTGCGTGTGTTGAATGTTTTTACTTTATGCAAATCAAACGGCCTTCACAATTTTAGATATCAAACATCTGTAACAATATAGCTGAATTTGAGCATAGAGAAGGAAGAAACCACTTGAAAAAATATTAATTGAATTTAACATTAGTTATTAATTTATTATAGCATTTAAAAATGCATTACTTTGTATACTGTGTTTTTAGTACAAAAAGAAATGAAAAGATTTTTATGCCATAAACTGTTCCTTAATGAGCTGAAATTTAAATTTAGTTTTATATTTAAAGCAAATTTTTAAAAAATCTTGAAGAACAAGACAAAATCCATCGATTGGGAAATGATAGAGTCATGACAGATTTAACCCAAGATAACTAAATATTCGCCGAGCAGAAGACCAAACGAGACTGGCTCAGACTCTTTTACTGAATAGGTTTTGGGCTTGGGTTAGCTCTGACTCCAGATAAAACTTTCACTAATTTTTTTTCTACTTTTAAATAAACGTTGTGTTCAGTTATTAAGTGTACAAATTTAATAACTATAAAGGTTTTAAATGAATAATTTCCTTGTTTAGACAAAAGCCTTTATCCAAGGTATATCACAGGCTCTAATGGACTCCGGTTCTATCCTGTGATGCTCTATCTCGGATAAAAATTCATCGGGGTCTGATCTACAAAAGCGAACCTTTACTCATGTTACAGAATACAGCCAGTTTTGTGAATGACAGAAATTCATGCTACGCTCTCACTACCTTACTCACAGCACCATCCTAACTAGTAAAATGAGTTATGAGAGGTGGTAGCGCTGCTACATACTCGTTATTTTTGGAGATTTGTTTTAATCGTCGGAGAATGTTTAGTTATAACGTGTAGAAATTTTATTTCGTAACCGTCGTTGAACAGCAGATCCACTGTTTGGGTTTACGTTTACAAATGTTGGTCCTATTTGAATATTATAGGTCAATATTAAAGGAAGATATCGGGCTATTTAGAAATTCATAATATTGACTGCGAATTTCTTCGCTTTAACGCTATTTAACGCACTATTATATAGATACACGTCCCGCAGTGGACTGATCGTTAAGACACGGTTCCCAGCAGATCACCGAAGTCAAGCATCACTGGCTGTGGTCAGTGTGCGGGTGGGTGACCCACTTGGATCAGTCTGCGTAGGGACCGAGGGTGTGCGGTATTGGTCTTCGTTAAACTGTTCTACCGTAAAGTGCTCGACTTCGCGTGCAGGTAGTCGGGCTACCGAAGCGGGGGTGCCATCCCCTCTGCAGAGGATCAAAATTGCGATGGCATGTCTTCGGATCATCCTCAGGGATGTTTCCCAGACCGTCGCCAATAGCCCATTGTGAAGCTCTAATGCGACGTAAATTAACTACAACTACAACAAATATAGATACATAAATAGTAACCTATAGGCCACATTGAGGGCCCCCTATTAGGCCTACAATTATTTCCTCAGTTAGGTTACACTAGTACCCGGTAATATAATGCGTGGTTCAAAATGAATATTATGGGTCAATATTAAGGGGAGATATAGTTTCATATTGCAATACAGATTATTGACTTCGAATTTTCTCATTTTAACGCTGTTACATATCAATATATACATTGTAATCTATAGGGCCAAATTATAAACCGCGTAATTATTAGTCTATAATTATTTCCTCTGGCTGGTTACACTAGTACCTAGTAATGTAATACGAGGTCCAATTTGAATATTATGGGTCAATATTAAGGGGAGATATAGAGCAATGTTGTAATACATAATACTGATTGCGAATTTCCTCATTTTCACGCTATTACCACACGATTCTAGCTTCCAGCGAATATTTAGCTTTAAGCACCTCTTCCGCGGTTAGTCAAAAAAACTGATTTTGGCCCATTGTGTATTAATTTCCTTTGGTACAACTGTTCAAAGGGATACATTGTGTAGGGTACATTAAACCCTAATTTCTAGCCAAGTTTGAAATTTTTAAGTTAATATTTAAGGGAGTTACGTAGTTTTTACTGGTGCGTGCCGCGGCACTCCATTTTACGCATTTAATCGCTCTTTAACAAAGAAAAATACTTGTTTTTATCTATAGAATACTTCATTCATGCTGATATATCGAAAATATTGAAAAAGAAGCTTAAAAAATAGTATAAAATAAGATAAAGAAATAAATTATCCCGAATATATCCGTTTTTTGCCTTTTATGCGCTATTTCCCAAATAAGAAAAAAAAAATTGTGTCTAACACTTTATTCACGTTAAAATATCAAAAAACATTTTAAAAAATAATGTAACATAAAATAAACAAAAAAATTAAAAATCGACCATCGCGGGATTCGAACCCAGCTCCTTCTAATAAAAAAATTGTTCAGGAGAGCAAAAAAAGTTTCTGGTGATGACAATATTTTTTTTTATTTACTTATTTATTTTAGTTTCGCTATAAACTCTTGTAACTTTACTGAAGTGACATTAATTAATCCTGTAGTGACGATGGTTTTCAATGTTGCGAATATACAATTCACCGATAAGATTTAAATATTTACTACGATATAACTTACTTATTATTGGACTTTTTTTTCTTCTTATTTTGTGTTTAATTACTTAATATTACTGTTTATAAACATTTCTGAATATTGAATCTTTCAACTTACATAAAAATATCCCATATATATTGAAGTTTTATCTTATATTTCCTATCATTTTTAGGATAACCATTTATAGGAGGATTGTTAGAATTATCAACTTAAGGATAACCATAAGTGTTTTAAATTTTGTTACTTTGGGTATTAAAATACTTTTGTAAAAACACAATAACAACAAGTTGTAAGATAGTTTTTTTTAATATTTTTTTTTGTTGTTGATATTTTTAGAGTTTTCTATTTTTGTATACAATAACAATATTTTTTTTCAATCACTGCTATGCTCAAGATAATTGTCAGCTATTGGAAAAACAACAAGTTTAATTAATTATTTTTTTCGCACTTTATAAAACTTATTTCTGGAAAACAATTAAAAAATAAGGTATTCTGAATCGTGTTGGACTTGTATGACCTTTGGTAGTAACACTATAAATAATAATGTGCATCACCAATTTAAGAAAAATAACCTTTGCCTAAATGCATAGATTACATTTGTAAATCTAAAAGTTTTAATGAAAATGTATCATTAGAAATAGTTACACTAAATGTAATATTTTTTTTAAAAAAACAACGTGTTTACCTCTGCAGGGGTGATTGTGAGCCCAAGTCAAAATTCCGGAAAATTTCCGGAAAAATCCGGAGAAAAAAAATTTTGAGGTAAAAAAAATATATATATATTGTTGAAGTAAAAAAAAACAGTTTCAATTGGAAAAAAAATTAAAGAAGGATGCATTTTTAAAAATATCAGCAACAAAAAATAAAATGTAATTTGACAAATTTTTTTAAAGAAAAACATCTTGAATATTAAGAAAAATCTAATTCAACATAAAACTCACTTACCTGAAATGTATTATAAAGAGGAAGGACACTGGTATGGTAGAAAATCCATCACATAGATATACAATTAAAAATAAAATACGCTTCCACTTGAACGAGATAATAATGAAGGAAAGCAGATTTTTTTTTTCTTCCGTGGGGTTAAATAACAAGGGAGTGATTAGCGTGATGACGTCACTGAGCACATGCACGTGGTAGGCAGCACTACGCACGTATTAGCGAGGGGACTGAAAAGTAATGTTCATTTTTGCGAAAAAACTTCGCCAAAAGTAAAAAAGCGACATAGTCGCCTAAGGCCGAAAATAGTAGCTTTTTAGTCGCCGGAGGCAACCCTGTACCATTGATTTCCGGAAACTTTTGTGATCAATGATTTGTTAAAACAACTGGACCTTCGATTTCCGGAAACTTCCGGATCACAGTTAGTGAAAATTCCGGAAATCCGGACTTTTTCCGGAGCACAATCACCCCTGCCTCTGTTTTATCTTTCCTTAGATAAATCCACACTGACAAGTTTCCAAAAGAGCGTAACGGAATTATTTATTATTATTAAACATTTAAGATGCTTTTAAAATATTCTTAAAAAATTTAGAATTTTTTTTTAAATTTTATTTTCCTGACTTTAATCCCTTTCATCTCGTTCTCGCCAAAATCACGAGGTGAATTTTCGCCCCTTTTTTTCGTGCAAGAGCGATCAATAGTAAAGCACCGAAGCGGTTTAAATATATACACCTCTTGTGCCCGGAGTTTTTTATTTCTCATTTAACATATTAGTTGGCTGTGCAGACTTTTTTTTTTAATGTAACTGGAGAGATAGTTATTTTAAACTTGCATCTCATGCTTTGAAATTAATCATCCAAGAAAAAAAATACAAATATTTATTAATATTATGTGATTATTTAATGTTTAAAGCACGTATTTTTTTTTTTTTTTCCATTTTCCTTTGCTTACTGGAAAACTTACAATCAATCTCAATAACCCTAAATGTTGGCTTCAGCAAAAAAATGTAATTTTTTAAATTGCAAGCTAAAAAAAAATCCAAAAAAACATAAATTAATACATATTTTGTACACGTACCTTTTAAGTTATATGTAATTTGATTAAGTTATATAAAAGTTTTTTTGAGTTTAGTCTTTCGATGTAAATTTTTTTTGGATAAAAAATATATTCTTTTGACCGTTTTCTTGAAAATAATAGGATTGTTAAGGGGATAATGTGTAATTATTATCTTGGGAAGTTCAATTCATTCAAATACATATTTAAAAGACGGAATTGAAAATTAAGCAGTATGCATTTTTGGGAATATCAATGCTTTAATGAACATCTTGGATATTTTAATTGTTTTTAAATAAAAACAACCATTATATACAGGGTGAGTAGCCAAATCTTTCAACAAAAAATAAGCACCTATTAAGCACTCAAAAATATTTTTAAGCACTATATACATTAAAAAAAACGTAAAATTATTTTCAAAGACTTTACATGATCATGACTAGAAAAAATAATGTAAAACATGTAAAATGATTGGCGCTTTCATACGCTATGGATCGATGGTACGTCGAAATGGATTATGGTAGAATGAATTGTATAAACGTTGAATAGAAAAGTGTGAAAAGCACGCTTTTGCAAAATACATGGCGAAAATCGACATGGTAAAGAATTAAAACCGCATTTTCGAAAATAGAAAATTAAGCACTTTTTAAAAACACCCAATGAAAAAAGCACCTCTAAGGTCTTTTAAAAAACTAAAATAAGCACGTGCTTATTTTTTTAAAAGGTACCTTTTAGCACTTTTTAAAAACGCTACGCACCATGGATTAGTAACAAAACAATAGACATTTAACTAGAGAAAGTAACTACATACATTATAGTATATCATATTAAACCTTTAAGTTCTCCTTTAAGCTTAGTTAAGAGCCTAACTTTAAGCAATATTGGGTGTAGTAATCAAGCAAGCAACCAAACATAATTTCAGCTATTAAATTTCATGGAATAATGTGGCTGGATTACATCCATCAAAAGTGTGATGGTGATCCAGTTAAAAACTTGACATAGGGAAAGGTTACTGGCAACCAAAAAAGGAAAAGACCAATCATCTGTGGAAAAAAAAAATCTGTGGAAAAGAAAAGAAAAGAAGATCATGGGCATCAATAGATGGAGAAACCTAGCTTTTGATCGAGTCAGGTGGAAAATATTTTGTTAAAACGGCTCTCGTTTTGCTGTCACGCTGATGGAAGTAGAATTTAAATAACTAAAGGCTCCCATTTACGCCCAAAGAAATTATTTTGAATGATACGTTTTTAGGGAGTATGTATTCCAAAATGTTACTGAACGTTTTCTTATTATTCATTCTTCTTTTTATAGATTAAGGCAGAGACTAATCATAACCCTAATCAATTGAAAAGCTTTTTTTTAATTAGTTTTGATTGAAAATTAATTCGAAGAAAACGAGGAACTACCTGCGAAAAGGAATGCTGGTACATTGATTTTAAAAGGAAAATTTTTTGTGCATTCGAAGTTGAAATGTTATGTGATTTTTCTTAACGTTTTAAATTGTATCATATCAATCTCGATTAGTAAGGAATAACTTAGATGATAAATAAAGGTATTAATTAAAATCTATCTTTTGGCAACGCAAAACCATAGTTGAAAAACATAAAAGGATCAACCCTAAAATATACAATCTAAAAAAGAAATAAACATCTGAAACATTTTTATGGGATCTATTAAAAGAAAACCAAGATTAGCTGAAAGATCATGGTTGGAAACATGAGACGGGGTAAACATTTGCTACAACTGCGGCTTCTGAAAGTCCTCATATAAAAATTCCTTTATTGTTAAAATAAAAAAAACTACATAAGTGTGTGTGGCCCCATATCCTCCCTTATTCTTAACCTATAATTTTCATAATCTGTCAGATATTATAATGTAATATACAATACTACCATACCAAAGAAAATAATTATAGACAAATTAGGGGAGCCACAGTGTGGCCCAATATGGTTACACTGACAAACCCCAAAAATACTCAAAAAGAAAAGTAATAAATAATACCAAGGTAATAAAAAGCTAACAAAATATATAAATACAATTTCTTATTTTTTTTTATAGGAAAAAATCTCATGGACTATGGACATTTGATGTTTTGAAGCTTAACAGACTTTATAATAGCCAGTAAATTTTTTGATAAGTTATAATTTGTATTTCGTCTGTTTTTGAGTATGCATTTTTTCAGGGTTGTTATTTAAGATCAGAGCAATTAAAACACAATAACATCTGCTTAGATAATAACGAGAATAAATTTATTTATCAAATAAATACACACAAAAATGTCTTGATCATTTTAAATATACAAATATATGTACAGTTCTAAATAAAACAAAAATTTATGATTCACAAAAAATTAAAAGAAAATTCTCTTCAAAAAAAAAGAGAATATATTGATAAGAATCATTTTATCAAAACTTTAAGTAGAAAAATGCTTCTAAGAAAAAATATCTTCCAATACTTTTTGTCCACAAATATACAAATGAATGATTTTATTATCATTTTAAATACATAAACATATATGTATATATTTATACAATCTCTCTTTTTTGTTGACAAGAAACAAAAATGAAGCACATTTTCTTAATAAAGCTATTTTTTTTTTAGCCAGCAGGAACTTTAACTACTTCTTGTAAATTTTCCAGGAAGGTCCGCCCATTCACGAGCTTTGTTGTTGCAATGATATATTCTATTGGAGCTGGAATAAAAACCATGAAAAGTCTTATTCTATGAATAATGCATGAGATATTAATAATTTAACAGGGTGCCTAGCCAAATTTTTCAACAAGAAATAAGACCTTTTAAACTCAAAAATGTTTTTAAGTACTTTAAAAAAAAAAAAATTAGGCAGGGTTGGCAAGTTTCTGACAATCGACGGTTTTATTAAGATTTAACCGTCATGTCAAAAAAAAAAATTAAGTTTTGTGGGCATAGTTTTTGATAATTGTCAAAAATCATGAAATTTTGAATCATAAAACAAATGGCGCTTTCATACGCTAAGGAGCGTCGGTACGCCGAAATAGATTGGGGTTGAATAAATTGTGAAAACATTGATTAGAACAATATGAACAGTGTCTTTTTGTATAATAGGTGGCAAAAATCAACAGGGTAAAGGGAAAATTAAGCCGTTTTTAAAAACTCTGAATGAAAAAAGCACCTTTAAAGGATTTTAAAAAACGATAATCGAAAATAAGCACCTTTAAGCCATTTTTTAAAAAAGCTACGCAACAAAACCTATTTAAAGCTTGGTAAGATGTCATATAACAAGACTGCCACTCTAATTTGGAAAAAAAAATTGCCTGTACATATTATACACAACATATTAAGAGAAAACACACAATCACTGTGCTCTTGTGTGACCTTTATTAGTCTAGCTATACGAGTTTCAATTGCTGGAACAACTTAAATAAGGAACAGCTTAACATACTTAAAACAAATAATGTTATGGTAATTGAAATAGTTCAATATAGCTGAAATAACATCCATAAATATCCCATAGATTGCACTTTGAGTGTCACCATTTTTTAAAATACGAAAATAAGAAAGAAAATTTACTTTATTTTCCCACTTTATAATGAAAAACTAAAAATTCCCAGCATTTTCTCTGTTATTTTAGGTGATTTTTAAATTCCCTGTATTTTTCTGTTTTTTTTAGGGTGCATAGCCAGATTTGTTACAAAAAAAAGCACTTTTTAAGCACTTAAAAAATATTTTTAATCACTTTCAAAAAAAAAAAAAAAACATAATTAGGATCTGTGCAGTAATAAAGAAATCTCTATTTTTCTATATCAATTAAAGTTCTTAATTTACAAACATAAAATCAATAAAAATTTAGAAATATTTTCAGAAAATTTACATAATCATGATGAAATAATTAAGTTTCTGATAAATAGTGCAGAGAAAATTGTGAAAATCATGCATTTTTGTAATTTAGAGTGATAATCGATACAGCAGAGAAAAAAATCTTTTTAAAATATAGAAAATTAAGCAAGTTTTACAAACCCTGAATAAAAAAAGCACCTCTAAAGGCTTTCAAACAATGTAAATTAAAAAAAGCACTTTTAAAAAATGCCACATATCCTGTTTTCTCTGTTCTCCTTGTGGAGTGGCAAGCCTGTATAAAATGGACGTACTAAAATGGGGAAAATATAGCATACGGTAAGAAGAAGAGAATGATGAAAGAAACATAATAAATGCTTACAATCATCTTGTTGTGATAAGAATCTCAGGGCAGAAATTTCAGCAACAGTACAACCTCCTAAGAAAAACACCAAAGTCACTTTTTGTTCTTCGGTACTCGACTGAATCGATGATCCTGATCCTCCTACAATATAAATAATAAAATGCAGCAAATCAAAATAGACAATATACTTTCTTTTTTTAAATAAAAATCTGGAATTGGTTTAAACTAATAGTTTCAAAGTAATAATGCAGAAATGCTTTCAAGATTTAAGGAAAATTTTGTATCAAACTATCTTCTGTTAAAGAAAAGTTTTATTATTTTTATCAAACACCTTTTACAGGGTTCCCACTCAATTTCAGAAAAATATATGGTAAATTTCAATGAAAATCAATACCATATTTTACTTATGCAATGGAATTTTTCATCAGAAAATTTTGATTCTTTTATTTGTAATGCCAAGTATTAGATTTTCTATGTAAAATAAATATCATTATATGAGGAAGGAAGCATTTAAGTTTGTCTAAAATGTGAAATTTTTACAATAAATAATTGTAATAGATGTTAGAATTATTTAACTCGAACCTCAACAACTGAGTACTGTTACTGACAATTTTAAGACTGGTTTTCAAATATTGCGTGTAAATTTCCGTAAAAAAGAAAAATCTTTTTGCAAGAACTCTGTAAAGTTCTGAGACAATGTCGCCGTGTTGCTGCGATTCTATCACACAGCACAGATCCAATAATAAGATCAGGGTCCTGATTGGAATGTATTTTATAAATTTGATGTAACATGCATTTAAAATGTCTTACGTCTCTTTCTTAATCCAAGTGGAATTTTCTGAACTCCTTCAATAGTAGGACCAGGTAAAATATTTAATACGTCTGGAATGGCTCTCCAACCAGGCTGAGTCAGAAATTGAGCTAGTCTAACGCTCAGAGGTGCATAACCACTGTGGACATAGGATATGTCAGATGGAGACTGAAAATGAATAAAACAATGCATTTTATACACAATTATAGCATGCAAATAGGAAGGTATTGGCCCTCATTGGGCTGTCTGGCCATCTACGATGATCCTGATAGTATGTAAATACAGAACTTAGTTTCATGTTTGAAAGTATCATCGATTTTAATGTAATTTTAAAAGAACTTTTTGCTGGTGAATGAGGTGATTTTTGTAATTTCAATGAAATGCAAAAATGTTACAAGTATACCAAGAAGTTATTTTTTTTAAAAAAAAGAAAGAAAAGAAACATGTATGTTCTTCAAATTTTTATTTAATAAATATTTTTTTTCAGTTCAGCAGGTTTCAAATAAAGTATTGTTTGCAGTTTTTAAAAAGTATTAAGTTTTATAATTAAACATTATGAAATAAAATAAAAAATATGAGCATTCCACAATGACTAAGTTTTGAAATATATCAAAGGTATACAATAAAAAATTAGTGAATAACACCCGATTTTAATGATTATTTAACAGGGTGCGTAGCCAAATCTTTCAACAAAAAATAAGCAAATTTCAAGTACTTTTTAAGCACTAAAAATACTTTTAAGCACTCTATGCATTAACAAAATGCAAAATAATTTTCAAAGACTTTACATGATCATAATAAAATAACTAGTTGCAGACAAAGAACTCTTTTATTGATTATACTAGCCACCATAAAAAAAGATCAAGAGATTTTCGGTCTAATTTCAGATGGTGGAAAATGAAGTCTGACATTGAGAACATCTTGCAAAATGCACCCAGAGTTGCACATGAGAGAGCAAGAATTTCACTGAACCCAGCTCAGTATATGCACATGCAGACCCGCAAGCATTTCATCAAACATGTAAAATGATTGGCGTCTTCATACGCTACAGACCGACGGTACGCTGAAATGCAATGTGCTTGAATGAATTGTAAAAACGGTAATAGATCAAAGTGAAAACTTCGCGAAAATCAACGTGGTAGAGAAAAAAATTTCGTTTTCGAAAAGGGAAAATTAAGCACTTTTTAAAAACGCCCAATAAAAACAGCACCTTCAAGGGCTTTTAAAAATAAAAATCGAAATTAAACACCTTTACGTACTTTTTAAAAATGCTACGCACCATGTTTAAAATAAAATAATAATAATTGTTAGAAGGATTGACTGCAATTTGTTAAGTTTTATAATTAAACATTATGAAATAATATTAAAAAAAATATGAGTATTCCAACAATGACTAAGTTATGAAATATATCAAAAGTATACAATAAAAAATTTGTGAATGACCCCCGATTTTAATGATTATTTAATATAAAATAATAATAATTCTTAGAAGGATTGACTGCAATTTGAAAATAAAGAGCAATACAGCTCTATTACTTTGTAATTCTAGATTATAAGAACTTTTAGAGAAAGCTTGGAATTTGTATTTTAAACAAAATTGGGAAAAAGCAAAATTAAAGCCACTATGGGAAAAAATTGTCGTCACTCTGAAGGAAGAGTATACCCCAATCTCTACTCTTAGAGAGAGAAAAAAAGATTGTCCATTACAATAACAGGAAAAATACCAGTAAAGGAAACCAAAATAATGCACAATGTTGAACCTCTTAACTTTAATCACAGATCTCTTTAGTACAAAATTAAAGTTATTTATAACAGATAATAAACTTACAATACAATGAAAAAATTAACAAATAACATAACAAGATCCTCATAGCAGTATTGGCACATTTTGGAGTGCAGAAAATGCGTAAGTAGACTCTTTTGTTAAAAAAATTAAGAAATTGTAAAGTGGAAGAAAGGTTTTATTTCTTTAAGAAATGCCTCTGCAATAGTATCCTATGTGCGAGACACCTGCATGACCTTGAAGTCAAGTGCCTGCTACTCACTTGTAAAGATATGTAAAATGACAAATTTAGTGAAGGATTCTGTAAAAAGAGAATTTTTGTTCAAATACTGATTAAGCATTAATTCGTTCTTCTGAGGATAAAGAAGCGGTTCTTTACTTCTCTAGAACTCATTCATTTGAAAGATGTTCTGGACATTCCTAAGTCTACTTTTTCTTAATTTTTAGTGAATAAAATTTTAAATTCAAATGATTTTTTTAAAATCCTGTGTTCCTCAAAATGGTATGTTTTAAAAAAAAAGAAAGAAAAAGGAATTTCAGAACAAAATGCTAAAAATCAGGACAAATAAGGACAGAATATTTTTTATCAGGAAAATCAGGACAGCTATGAACCTATTATATGCTAAATCAAAAGTATATTTAAAATCTTCACTTTAATACTTCTTCATGTTTGTTGATATATTAGAATGCTTAATAATTTTAAATACTTTATAACTGATATTGTAAAACTTTATTAATATTTACTCATACAACATTTGCCTATTAATGTTTTAGTAATACACTATTTGGACATGTAGAAAGAATATTGAAAATATTCCATTTGTTTATCTACTATATTTTCCATAATTTTTTCAACAAAAGGAAATTTTTTTTTAAAGTTTGCGACAACTAAATATTATTAAAAAGCATTAATCATTTAATAACATATTCCCAGTGTAGAAAGAACATTTACATAAGGTTTTAATAAAAGCAAATTTCTTAAAGTCTTGGAATGGATTTTCAGAATTTGACAGAAGTGTATAAAATCTATAAGCAAAACAATGGTATTTAATATTATACTAAATATTCATACTTGTTCATTCACATCATCCACAATCAAACGAAGTGTTTTACGAATAACAGAATAAGTCCTGTTTCCTTGGACTTTCAACAACTCTGCTTTCTCCAAATTGTTTAATGTTAAGCAATGCTGATATCCATATGTCTAAGAAGATAATAAAAATAAATATTCAAACCACACTAATTTAAAACATCTACTCTCTTAAAAAAAATTAATGCATAATAACTAAGAGTTGATTAAGGTTTTTTGCTGCAGCTCACAATTACACTCTAGTGTTTCAATTGATGAAGAGCATTTGACTACATTCGCCAAATTGCAAGAGCTAGAAAAGACAATTTTTGGTTCCAGAAAATTAGGCATCTGCATTAATGAAGGATTGAATTCGCCCAATTATAGTGAGAATAATGTACCTTTATTAATTAAGGAATATGTAATCTATCATATACACTTTAAAAGTCTTTAAAATTCAATTTAACCCTAAATAAAACTTAAATCATCTTTATTTAACTACACAAATTTACTTTTACAACTCATTTATTAACGTCAAATAAACTAGCACAGTTTAATTTTAAATTTTTATTAAAAAATAGGGAATTGCTAAAATTTAATGCTCACAATGTTTATTTAAGCAAGGTTAATAAAAGAATATCCTCGGGCTGGGCAAGGTTGACTCAGGCTTTCATCCCTTTAGTGGGTCGATAAATGAGTACCAAGCATGCTTGGGAACTAAACACTGGGGGTTCCGCGTTCGGTTGACCACCTGACCGGAACATCTGCTCCTGCACCCCAGAGCCCAAGGTCAAGAAAACTGGGCACAGTAGGCCTTGGCCCTCTATGGGCTGTCGCGCCGCTGAGTTTAATAAAAGAATACTTAAATTATGCATTTTTTTAAGGTAGTACTATTTTTGCAAAGATGTAATATGTGTTCCGTGAAATAGTTTTAATCAAAACTTCCTTCAAAAATAAACAGAAATATTAATCCATAAATCTCTTAATTACAAAGAAAAAAATAATTTCACTGTTAAACAAGATGAAGAAAAAGTAAATATTGAATTATTTTTACTAATATTTATATACAGAGCTGCTGTAAAATTGCTATTAATTTCTATACATACAGTTTTATTTTTTGTCAGTTTTTATTTACAGAGCTGTTTGACTGACACTTGCTCCTGAATGAGCAGTATTTATGTTCAGCAACAGTAAATAAGCACAGTAAAAGATAATTTTAACATATTCATAGCACAGTAAAAAATATAACATACAGCACAATAAACGAAATCTAATTAAGATAACTACAAAATGTAATAAAAACTAAAACAACATGTTATCTTAGCTGAGCAATGTAAAAAAATAAAGCATACCTGAATTATCTCACGTTTATAATAATCCAGTTGTTTAGGCTTCAGACCATTGTTCGTGAGAGACTGTAAACATATTAATCTAAGCACCTAAAATAATAATATTAAAATGCATAAAACTTTTGCTTGTACAAAAGGGAGTTTCAATGTCTACAGTAAAATCACTTCAGTGTATTCATAAGTTGCATTACAAAACATTCCACAACCGAATTTGGATACAATTGTAAATTTTTTTTTATAAAGAAAAAAATTCAATTATTCTTAATGTATTCTGTAACACTTCAGCTACAAAGTAATAAAATTTCTTCTTAATTAAACAAGTACTTTAAAAAGAAAAACAAAAAAACTTTTTTGTATGGAGCAACACAAAAAATATTTGAATCTTCTGTTGAAATTTTTAAGTAGTTTTTGTAAACAAATTTATGGGTTTTCTACAAAAGTATGCATTTTATTATAACACTTTAAAACCATGTTATTGTTTTTTTTTTCAAATTAAATCATGCATTAATGAGATATAATTTTTTTTTTGTAACATAGAAAATATTAGAGCCCCGTTTTGAATATTCTAAATTTTCAGATAATGAAAATAAAACTAAAATGCATTTTCAACATATTTAAAGTGAGGCAGCTATTTAAAGAATATTTTTAACTGAGATGGCAATATTTTTTATTACTCTTTTTTGTAGATGATAATTAAGTTTTTTGTTTGTAGAAAAAATCTAAATATATTGGAATGGTCAGTAATAATTAAAACAAACATACACAATAACAATTCAGCAAATTTTGCAATTGCAGGTTTAGGCTTTTACATTTTCTTAAAGATATTCAGTTCATTTACATTGAACTAATATAATTTAAACTGCAGATTGTGCTAAAAAATTTCAATGTTTGATTTTTAAGTGCTATATTTATGAACAAATTTTAATAAACCATATTAGCACTAAACATACCGTAACTGGGCAAATGATCGTTTAAGAACTTTTGCACCGAAAATGCCCTTATCATCTTATCATTTTTGCACATTTGACTTCATGACTTTTTCTAACAATTATATAAAGTTAATATTCTATTATTATATTTTCTTGTATTTTGTTTGTTTCGAATAATACTTGTTGTGCACCTATTTTTACCACAACCGGTCATTTGACCGAGAGAACAATTTATTGCTTTATAAGGTTATCGAATCAGAAATTACGATGTAATGCGTGTTCAACGTATTGCATTCGATTAGTTGCACATTTCTGCAAAGACTGTTGCATAGCTGGTTCAATGAGAATAACTGCGAATTCAAATTCCAAGAAAATACCTAAGATTTTAGATTGGTATTTTTGTGAAAGAATAAGTGACGAAAACTAAATGTTTTGGTAAGTAGCTTAGATTTTATTTTGATAGCTTTACTTCATTTCTAACTAACTGTTAGTTTTTATCCAGAAAAATGTCAAAACAATCAAGACAGCACAAGTTCTTATAAGAAATAATATTANTTTGTGTAAGAAGAAGTGACAGAAAGTAAATGTTTTGGTAAGTAGCTTATATTTTATTCTGATTGCTTTACTTCATTCCTAACTAACTGTTAGTTTTTATCCAGAAAAATGTCGAAACCATCAAGACAGCACAAGTTTTTAGAAGAAATAATATTAATTATAAGAATTATAATTCTTATATAATCTTATAATTATAAGAATTATAAGAATTATAGGATAATAATAATTAGAAGAAATATGTTTGTATAAAATGTACAGTGAAAATGTATATGAAAAAAAATGCATTGTATTAAAACTTCTTATTCTTTGTGCTTGTAAAGCATAAAAATTGGCAATATACAATTTTGTTTAATTATAATAAGTTTTTTCACTTTATTTTTTTCCTAACATCTCTATATTTCATACATTCAATCAAGAAACATAAAAGTCCCATCATTTGACCGGCTACGGTAAAAATAGGTAAAGATTAAGTGTTGGTATGTTTAGTGTTAATAAAACACTTGATTTGTGAACAGAACTTCCAGCAATGTTCTCACTTTGATAAATGGTTCTTCTCTTGCAATGCAGTCCTCTATGTGAGCATTGGTTTTGTCGGTGTCAAGGCCATTCATGAATTCTACAAACAACACACTTTTAAAATTAATTTTAAAAAAATAAAGTATTAAATCACAATATATGTTTTCATGCAGAAAAAAGTAATGCTACCTTGTTCTGTTTGCAAAGAATTCAAAAACATTTCTGAATCAATGATTTCTTTGATGAGCTCGGCCATTGATGTATCTACATTAATGAAGATAAATTCCTTTTTAATAACCATTTTGACATTTACAGTAAAACCTCGCAACAACAATATTTTGGGGACCAAATAAATACATTGTTATAGAGGGATATATTGTTATATCGAGGGCCTATATACTTTGGGGACACGATAAGATTTTTTAAAAATTTTAATGTTATATATGTATTAACTATAAATGTATTTATATATTACGCAAAAAATTTATTTACAAAGTGATAATTGCGGTTAAATATTAAAAACAATTGAAATAATTTCAGAAAATAAGACCTTAAACATACCTGAAAACCGTTTATATTGAAAATAATCTGATATTTCTGTTTGTTTATTCATTTTTTTGACTGTCAAGTCAACCAACAAAGTTGCATTGAGCCCAAAGCACGAAAACGATTTTCGTTTACGAATCTCTCTCTTGCTCTACCCACCCTCTACAGAAAAAATGCTCTTTCAGGTGTTAATGTGATGCTTGTGGTCATTTGTGACTCATGATCAGCTTTTAACATGAAGGAAATGAAATCAAACAGGAATGTTACATCTGTGACTTCTTAAAAGATAAGGGTGGCAATTCTAAGAATGGAAGTTCTTGGGTGATCAGCACCGAGTTTTCTCTTGTCAGAAAAAAGGGGAAAAACGGCAAAAGATGATAAAATAAGTTTTACATTATTTGAAAACCAATAATAAATGGCGAAAATAAGGTTGAAATTTTTTTAAAAAATCGTTTTACAGGGGTTTTTGCTTCAGAGAATATCATAATATTAAGAGGAGCATGACATTAGTTCATATGCAAGTTTGTCGAGACCACGAAACATTATCCTAATAAAGGGGGTTATTGTTGTGTTGGATATCGCAGTAGCGAGAGTTCACTGTATTAGAAAATGACAAAAGAGCAATTTCATAAAGCAATAATAATATAAATACTGTGTCAGCCACCTATTAAAATTAAAACCGTTCTGAGAACAATTTAATTTTATTAGACAGCTGATTTTATAAGCCGGAATGTTAAACTTTACAAATACACTAAAAGCTAAATTGATTATTACATTTATATTTTGATTCATTGAATCTACATTTGATATTTTAATTAAACATGAACTGCATTTTTTTTTAATTTACAGAAGGATTTTAAGATATTATCACATTTATTTGATTAGAAAAAATTAAAATTAAAGATCCAACATGGCTTGAAAGTTTCTGTAACTTTCAATTAAGCTTTATAACTTTCGTTGATATGAAATTCATTTTAAAGTATCAAGAGCTACTTTGACATCTATTAAAGATAGGTTCAGTCTGTTGAATGAGTGTATTTTTTGTCATTGAATAATAAAAAGGTATTCTTTAATTATTTATCAGTTTTCATTTGGGTTCCTTGTTTTATAATTTTCTAGCACTCACACTTTTATTTCCCTAAACTAACTAAGCAATTTAACTTTGTTCTTTTTGTTTGTTGAGGAGAAATTTGTTTTTTATATGCCTTCAACATTTGAGAAAATAATATAATTCCCACTTTTGATCTACATGTTTCTCAGCAAAACAAAGTGGTATCTCTTATACATCTTTTAGATATAACTTTGACATAAGCTTAGTTTTCAAAACAAAACAAAAAATGACGAACTTTTAAGCCATATGATACCATTGTCCAAACAACAAAAAAGATTTTCTTGTCCAAATAAATTAAAGTAACGAAAAAATTGGAGTATGACCTCAATTTAAAACATTTTGGGTTTGTGCACTGAACTTCAATTGAGTCACTGATTAAAAGGACTGAAATTGTACAATCATGTCAAATTTATAAATCCTTAAAAATCTAGTAAAATGTATGCAAAATAATATTTTTTAAGTTATTAAAAAATATTATAAAGCTGTATACATTATCAATTGTCACTTTTAATGTGTTACATAATGTGTAATATATAATTTTATGTCGAATATAAACAAAAAGTCTTTAAATGAATTACAATGCAATAACATCAAAACTTAGTAACATCTTTTTACTTGAAATAAAAACAAAACCACACCTTGATTTTTTTTTTTATATAAATTTGTCTGATTACTGAGAATAGCTTTAATAAAAAAATATATAAGTGTCGGTAATTCAAGGGGTAAGTATATCTACATGTATATTAGAATTCACTTTAAATAGTGGAGGTAATTTAGTTCTATATAAATATAATTAGTTAAGAAAGTTAATAGAGATGTTTATTAAAACTTATTTTTAATTAAGATCTCTATTAACTCAATATTAAAACCTTTTTTATTAAAACTTGATTATTTTGTTAAAAACTTTTTTTTTCATTAAATTCTTCAACTTTAAAATTAAATGTGATTATAAGTACAAGATCATATTTATGGTACTCTTAATATAAGTAATAGAAGAAAGGTTTTGCAAATTATATGCACAAAAGATATAGATTTTATACATTTTACATAATACATATAGATTACATATAGATTTTATAGATTTTACAAAATAGAAAAAAAAGAGAGAGAAATTTCCTTACGAGTTGCAAGAGATTTTTTAGCAGCTTGCATGTGAGGCAATTTATCAACAAATTGCTTAATGGCATCAATAGTTTTGGCACCATGCCTTTCCTAAAAAATAATTTTAATTGGAAAATCTTAAGAATCCTTTCGAAATTTTCATTTATTTATTTTTCTGCAGTAAAAGAAAGATGGAAACAAAATTAACAACTAATTAATTTTCTAGAGATTCAACAGTAACTCACACACAAACTATATTATGATCATTCATACTTAACTAAAAGTAACATTTGAAATAAATATGTAGTAAAATCTTTAAAAGACAAATTAGTTAGCTTTATGTATTCCTACATAGTAGTTTGTTTTATAAAATCCTGAATATTTTAGAATAAATTACTTTATTTTTTTGTAGAATTTCGAAACATACACATTTGGCTTTTTTTTCAGTACTACAAATCATAATAACGTAATTATAGTACAGCTGAACAAAACGCAGACAATACAGTATAAAATGTTTCAAATCTGAATTTTTTTTTTGCACCATGACATCAGGTTTTTAAGATATTGACAAAAATTAACTGTCATGGAACACCGTTTGGTTTTCGTGGAATACAGCTTAAATTTTAGTAAATTTAATGGAATATGGTTAAAATTTCATTAATCTTAAATAAATACTGTTTAAATTTTATCAATTCTAATGAAATATTATTTAAATTTTAGTAATTTTAATGAAATTTGCTTGTATATGGTTCAATAACTACACATTTTTGTCACAGATACTTAGATATAAAAAAGTTACATATAAAAGTTAAATATAGAAAAATTAAGTTACAATATGTTACTCAATGCAGAGAAAGTTAGAGTTTGTGACTTTCTCGGCAATGAGTAACACTTTAAACTAGAACCACAAGAAAAAGTTCAGGAAGAAAAAAAACACTAAATAAAAGCAAGGGATAAGTGCTTTGGAAAAGAGTATCAAAGAAAAGACTTACGTCGACAATTACATGAATTTAAGGACCTCTTTGATTTAAGATGTTCAACATGAATTCAATATATATTCAAATGAAAATTATGTCTTTTAAAAACTGATTAATATGAAAAGTTTAATTTGAAACATGCAGAAACAAACTTTTGAAACATATACTGATTTTTCTTAATTGAACGAATAAGAAAAATTAGTAAGAATAGGTAAGAATTGCTAAGAATGCAGAGGAAGAAAAGTAACAAACAAAACAAAAGAGATCTAGATAACACACCAATAAAAGTTAAATCCAGAAATAACATTTAAACTCTGTTGAAAAACAATCAACTTACGTCAAACTGTGCAGATAATACTTTTGCTTTCTTGCTCAATGTTGGCCCAACAGCGTTAAAGTTTTTATCTCGTAATTCTGCAAATAACTCTTCACCAGAATTCAAGAGTAAACGCTTAGGCTCTGTTGGGATTTCTTGAAGCCCTCCTTCCCCAGGTTTGCAAAATTTTTCAGGTGGTAGTTCAATAGTATCTGCACAATAGATGAAACATTAATAGCATAACACAAGAATTTAAATTTTAAAAAACTATAAACATTGAAGACATAAACAAATAAAGCTATTAAAAACATAAATAAATTTCCAATTGGTTTTTGAAAGATTGTGGGGAATGAACTTTCGACTATGCCAACCATCATCTATCAAGAGGTATTTTAATATTAAATCGATTGAGCATGTCTCTTATACTAGTGAGATGATGTTTAATAATTGTAGTGGTAGTTGCACCACAATACTTCTCCACTAGAATTTTAGATGGGGCAGAATTCGATAAACGGATACCACTAGTTGCCATATTTACGAAAGACCCAGAGAGCTGTGTTAAGTTCACCGAATTTTGAGTGTGTGGTGAGAGCTGTATTAAGTTCACAGAGTTTTGAGCATTTGTTGTGAGAGCTGTAGTAAGTTCATGGTTGTGTGTGTGGTCTCTCCTGTGTTGGTCAAATCAACTGTTCAGTGTGGATCATCCATCAAAGCGGGCGTTATTTTCGATGCAGGCGTGCTTAAATCACAACCGCAGGCCAACAATGTGGGGGAAGGAGCTTCAACAATGACAACCTTCATCTATCAAAAGGTACCTCGAGATTTAATCGAGTTAGCATGTCTTATATACTAGAGAATTGATGCTTAATAATCATAGTGGTAGTTACAAAACAAGGCATCTAACTTTTAAAAAAATTTATTTTGACAGGTAGATATTTTAAAACAAGGAAAACATAATAGTATTAATAATGAATAGAATCAACATGAAGTGAAACATTACTAGGAGTCAATATGGCATAATATAAAAATTTTAATTTTTCTAATGCTAAAAATAGAAGAAAATATGAGGAATAATTTTCAATAATAACTGTCCATAACTCCTTAGTATTTGCCAAAAATAAAATGCCAATAGGAAGTAGTATGGTAAAATACAAGAATTAAAATTTTGAAAATTCATAAATGTTCACATTACAAGGAAAACCATTAAAAATAAAATAAGTTTTTGTGAGAACAAATATATCCATTGTTCAAAAAACAGAAGGAAAAAAAAGAGGAATGAAAGACATGCACGAAATTATATATTTAGAAATAGTACATTCTACATTATATATTTAATTAGACATGACTATCATTCGATAGAAAATAATATTTTAAAGTTCACAGATATAAAATAATATGTTTTCAAAATAATTTAAAAAAAAAAATTTTTTTAACTATACTATTTGAACCTTTTGATACATTATCAAAAAAAAAAAAAGAAAAAAAATCATATTTCATACAGATGTTTTAATCTGACGGGGGAAAATGTTAACTTGAATAAATTATTTAATTTTAATTCAATTAAAATTTTGCAAAGGAAATTGAAATTAAAAAGAAAGTGAAATTAAAATAGAGACATAGGATATATTGTTTATGTTGTCTAAACATTAATGACTTATAAAGCATACTGGATGTTATGTTTTAAACAAAAATATAAAACACTTTCATACTATTATTGATGCCAAAATTTTCATCCAATAGGCCTTCATATGTCAGTTGGGTAGCTAAGACAGAAACTAAGTCAACTGATCTATCTAACAGTAACAGGCAGTCTATTTGAGGTGTTATTTGAGGATCGTTTCCAGAAAGCTCTCTCCTCATTCTCGTCATAAGATCAAAGACGTGCTGCAAAACATAATAAACATCACTTAAAAGATTTAGAAATGAAATTCAAGGATTGCCACTGAAATCAGGGGAAAAAAATTCCCTGTTCATATTATACAGAATATATTCATATTTTATAACCATTGTTGAATAGCCGACTAAATTTTTTGGGTTTACGACTACTAATGCCCAACTCCGTAACCTTGAACCCTATCCAGAAGAAAAGGGAACTCCTGGATCAAGTATCGGGAGAAATTTACCTTTTTGGTGAACTTTTTGATACGCATCTGCGTTACATGGAGAGGAAAACCTCTCACCTGATGGCAAGGCGACTCTAGCCCATGATCCATCTACCACTGAGGATATTTTACGTCAGCACTGCGTTCGGTGCAAGCCAGATGCGGAATTCGTATTGACCAGCCATCGCCAGGATTCGAACCGGGTTCACATCATTGGAAGACGAATGCTCTATCCCCTGAGCCATTGATGCTCACACAATATATTAAGAAGAAAAACACAATCACTGTGGTTTTTTATGAGCTGTATTGGGTTAACTAACTAACAAAAGAATGAACGGCTGAACATACTTAAACAAATAATGCCATAGTAAATGAACTAGTTTAATGTAGCTGAAATATCATTATATATCCCATAGATTGCACTTTGAGTGGTTACCATTTTTTAAAAGACGAAAATAAAACAAAATTCCCTGTATTTTCCCAGTTTCTAAAGAAACACTCAAAATTCCCTGCATTTCCCCCTATTATTTTAGGTAATTTTTAAATTCCCTGTATTTTCCAGGTTTTTGCTTTGGAGTGTCAACCCTGAAGTAGCTTCAAAAATTAAAGTGTGAAAAAAGTTGACATGTTTTGAGTGCCTGAAACAGAATTGAACAAAAACAAATTAGAGTTGAAAAGAGAATGAAATGCAAATCCTTTTTTGCAAATTAGTTTTGTAAGTCCAGAGAATTTTGACTTTTTTTACACTTTAATTTTTGAAGCTAGTAAAGTTTTTCCATTCAAAAGCATATCTTTCCATTTCAGATTCTTGAGATCATTTTTTCATAGATACATTATATGTTTGCAATTGTTAAGTGGCATACTTAAAAGGCTTCCTAGATTTTTTTTCTCCAGTTTTTTTACTTTTATGCGAAGAGTATATTTTAAAAATATAAATAATTGAGTAGATTAAAAAAACAACAACCTACTTTAGCACATTTTCCTTTGCCATAGATATTTGGAATGATTCCATAGATGGATTGTATGGTCATTAAAGATTTTGCAACATAATACATGCTCGTCATATCATTATCGATGTAACATTCCTAAAAACAAGAGACTGTAAGATACTGCATGAAATTCAAAAACAATCATGAAACCAATCAATATACAGAAGTGAAAAAACAAAATAGTTTCTCTCTAATGCCTAAAGCTTCAAAAAAAAAAAAAAAAAAAAAAAAAAAAAAAAAAAAAAAAAAAAAAAAACGAAACTAACAAGTAACTATAAAGTTATAGCTTCTATGGGAGTTATGGTTGGTTGTAACAAGAAAGGGACAATTACTTAAGAGAATGACGAGTCTGATTATTTCCTGTTGTGTCAATATTAATGAACTCTTATTTTTTTATTTAAAATGCCCACCCGACTTAACATTTCGTCAATTCAGGCATTTACAGGGCAGATTTTTTTACCACTCTTTCAGGGGCAACCACTTATTTGTTGATCACTTTTTCTTTTCTCTATTAGGTGAGCCAACTTTGCTGCCACAGTAAGGATAGATAGTACAGAGAATGAAAGAACATCCATGCCATGCCCGGGATTTGAACCGAGAACCTTTCTGATGGAAGGCCAGTTTCCTGACCCCTACACAGTCTGGTCACACAGGACATTAACAATACATTAATGAACATTAGTTACGCTATTTAAGAATTATTGCAAAATGCATGAAATATATTTCTTAAACTAAAACATTTCAATATTAATGTGTGTATGTATTTTTTAAATAAGTTTCATAATCAATAAGTTGAATAAAATCTTTAAAATTATCCTTAAATTTTTTAATTACCAACATTTTACAGAAACAAGTTATTTTTTTATTATGGTTTGATAAGGCCTAGGCCTCTGAGACCTGTAACATATCCTGGAAAATTTTCACACCAATACAGCTATTTGGTTAATGCAGAGAAAAAGTTATCGACAGGATTTTAAATTCGAGAACAAATCAAAAAGTAATAGTGTGATAAAATATCATAAAAAACCTTTTTCCTTAAGCACTAAACAAAATCTTGAACATAAAAATGTAATTAACTTTTAACAAAAAAAAGAAATGGCATTAGATATCAAAATCTATACCATAACAAAATTCACGCCAATACAACAAATTCAACACAAAACTATCCGGATATCCAGAGGAAAAGTTATTAGCAGGATTTTAAATTTAAGAATAAATTAGAAAGCAATGTGTGACAATTTTGCTTTATTACAATAATTTTTTTATTGAATCAAAAAAATTCTACTCCATACATAATAAATAACAAACTTAACAGGAGAAGAAAAAAAAATTTCTTTACTTTAAAAGAAGTTTCCCATTCCATAGACAAAACATCACTATCAACTGGAAAAAGTTCAGCAGTGTATTCAATAATATTTGCACAAACACCTCGCTCCTACAAAGAAAAATCATTGTAATTAGAGATTATAAGATAAGGAAAATATTAATTTGCACTTGTTTATAATAACTAAAACTAAAATAACTAAAAACAAATTTCAGAATAAAATGTTTGTCTCTTTTAAGAACCTCTGGTTTTATTTGCTAAATATGGGCCCTGTCATGTCTTCAAATTTTAATTTGAGTTACTGAAAAATTAAACAAGATATCTATTATTATTATGGGGGAAGGCAAGGAGCATCAGAACTACGTTAAGTAACATTTATTCACATATAGGACATAACACTGGACAATACACAAAATACAAGACACTTAACTTATTAGAAGAGGCCGTCTGCCTCGTCGGCTACCATCACATACGATGTGTGTGGGGAGGGAAGGGTGTGCGCCATGATATGCGTGGGGAGGGTGCGCAATGATATATGTACGTGTGCATGACGTATGGAATACGCTTCCTACATTATTGTAGTTTGCTTCGCACATAGGTTTATTTATTTTTTAAATTTTTTGAACTAATTGGCTAATTTTTAACTAATTGAAAAATGCTTATGCATTTATCATTCAATCAAAAACATATAAATACAATAAAATAAACACATTGGTAACATACATTGTTCAATTTTAAACCAAATCAAAAGAATGTTATTTTGTCAAGCTGTGTAATTTTAAACAACTTCGTTTAAATTTGTAAAATTTTATTCAATGTAATTTCAATTAGTACTTCAGCTTTTATTAAAAAATAGTCCCAGAAATCTCCCATTAAATCTGTAAACTTATCTAGGCCCTGTAATTTCTAGCCTCTAATTGAGTTCAGTTATGAGTTGAGTTAACTCCCACATGAAAAGTATGTTAAAGAATAGTATAAATTAATTTAAATTAATAATACTATTTAAATCTTAAAATATAAGGAGCTTTTCTCTTGGAAAAAAATTTGATTTACATAAATAAATTTGATTTATACAGATAAATTTGATAATTGGTACGAAGCCACAATATTAAAAAATCTATAATTCTCGATAATCGAGCATCTCTTCTAACCAATAAATCGATTTAATGAAATTAATATCACGATATTAAGTGTAAAGGTTACCAAGTTTTGAGTGTTTTATTAAGCTAAAGTTAAAAGGTTTAACAAATTAAATAATGAATAACACAAGTCACATTTCAAACAATAAAATTTAAGTACAATACCAATAAAAGATGGAGTGGTTTTTTAAGCTCAGGCATAAAAATAAATTGTAGTAACCGAGAAGTTTTATTAAGAATGTCACGAACACCATTCAAACTCATATTATTAATGTATTTAGAACTAGGAAAATTTAAATATAAAAAAAAATAATATTTAATGATCAAATTTTAAAAAAAAATCTATTTTACAAGTGAAAAAATGATTAAGAAACATACAGATAATTTCTCCTGGCAAAGTTCACTTTTCCTTGGAACAAAAAAAATATGAAATTCCTTTTTTGGTCCTCTCATGCCTTCAACTCTGTAAAAAAGTGCATTGTTATTAGAAATAGAGGTATAGAAGAGCACACAGACACATTTATTAAGATTTTAAGTTTCTGGAAACTTTTGTATTCTTATCATGGCTTAATTATTAAAAAATATCAATACATATGATTAAAAAGCTTTTCAGGCAATTATTAATCAGGGTAGAAACTAAGAAAACTTAGTCTCTGGTCCAGTAATTAAAAGATGATCCTAGTTAGTAAACATTTTCACTGGTTTGTTTACAAACCTCCGTTAGATTTTAAAAAAAAGTTAATTAAGAGAATTTAAATAAAAAATAACAAAACAGAGAATCTTCTATGTCATGATGAAATTACAATCATGATAAAATAAGTCATTTTGTGACAAAAAATACAGACCATAACATGAAACCCATATTCAAAAAACCAAAACAGCACACACTGAATACAGAGGACCACCAATTATTATTTTATGGTGGTACGAGTCAAAGTTTAGAGGTCAAGGACCAATAGATCACTGCTAATTATAGATTATTTTATCTAAAAAAAGACATAACTTCATAGCGCAATTTGTAAAAATTTAAAAAATATAAAACTAAAAAAAAAATTTCAAAAAAGAAAACATTCACAGGCATGAAAGTGGACAAAAATAAAAAAAGCTGAATTTTTACAATGCAGGTCACTGGGAGGAGGAGGGGGGGAGTGCTCTATAAGATACTGAGATTTATAAAAGCAACTTTTAACTATGTTGGGAGATTTTTATTCAATATTTAAAGTGGCATTAGCATTTAGACAGTTAACTTTAAATTTTTCTTAAATATAATTTTAAAATTTTGACCACTAATATATTTTAAAAAAATTAAGCAATTACAGGAAGGCGCGACTATTAAATTACTTACTAATGAAAAATATATCACATCTTTACAGTAACTAATTCAAGAGAAAACTTACTTCTACTTCTTTCAAGAATCGCGAGATTGGGTTTTAAAATCGCATGAATATGAATCGCGATTTTGGATTTTGAAATCTCATGAATCGAGCTGTTGGATTTTAAAAACACGAAAATACAAATTGCGATAATGAATTTTTAAATCACGTAAATAAGAATCACGATGCATAATTTTTAGATCATGTGAATACGAATCGCAGTGAGTAATTTTTAAATAGCGGACAAATACGAAAAACGATATCTGATATTACAACTGCGTGATAACGAATAGCAAAATTGGATTTAAAAATGCGTGAATACGAATCCCAAAGTTGGATTTTAAACTCACGAGAATACAAATCGCGATATTGGTTTTAAAAATGCTTAAATACAAATCGCGATATTGGAATTTTAAATTGAGTGAATAGAAATTGCTAGTACGATTTTTAAATCGCGTAAAAAAATTGCAACACGTAAGTTTTAAATCAGTTAAATACGAAAATCGATGATTGATATTAAAATTGTCTCATTAAAAATCGCGATTTTAGCAGATTCCGGTGCAGTTCCTAATATTTAAGTTCCTAATATTAAGTTCCTATATCAGCCAAACAAAAAAAATCAAATATCGGCGGTCGAAAAAAAGCGCTTAGACTCCTTTCCACTCTATAGCGGAAGTCGCAGTAATCCGACTATTGTTTGGGCGGCTTGGGTTTTGCCAATAGGACTTCCAAAAAATTTTAGTTTTTGGAACATGGTCGAAAATTTTCAAAACTGGGGAAAAAAAGCGGATTTCCGCTTTTTCGCGGAAGTCTTTCATCCCTGCATTCATAATTACCTAACTACAATAAAATATGTAATAGTTGGAAATGTCAAGGAGTGAAATTATAATTCTCAAAAAGCAAAATTTTCAAAAATGAATAAATTTGTACGTGAAATACCTAAAAGTCTGGTATTTCTTACCCAAAAAAAAAATATGCCTTGAAACAATTTTAAAAAAAAAATTGATAATTTTCACCCCAATAGCATGTATTGCAATGTATTTCATGTTTAAGAATAAGGCATAACTTAAAAATTAATAAAATTTATGTCACAGGTTTTATAAATCAGGTAAATTTAATAAAATAAATCTGAAAAAAGCAGGAAATTTTATTATTATTTTCTACTTATTTATTTATTTTAGTTTTTGAAGCCACCCCGTAATATAAAAAAAATTTAAGAATAGAAATAAAAAGGAAAAAGAAACATTAAAATATTAGATTAGATAGAAATATTAGTTTCGATGGACCAGTGGTTAAGGCAGTGAACTGTCGTGAAGAACTGGGGTTCGATCCACAGAGGTTGCATGTCGCTCACTCAGCATCAGATTGATAGGTACCAGCCTGGCTGGAAAATAAAGGTGGCCTGTGCACAGAGCTGACCTCATTGCCACAATTACAATGTAGGTCAAGAAATGGTGGAGCCTCAACCTCCCTGGCTCACCACAAGTTGTAGCAAGTGTACTTTTTATAAGTCAAAATTAAAATTTATTAAAAACTTTTAAGAGCATCAATGTTTAAGGGAAGTCATAAACTAATAAATGCATAAATTAATTTACTTTCAATGACAACTTCCTATTATAGCAAATTTTTCTTCCTAGAAGAACGGTTAATAATAACAGGTTAATGAAAAATTGGATAGTAATAAAATAAGCTTACTTTAAAATATAGTCAGCAATTATGTCCATCAACATCAGTTTTGGACGGACAATGAATATGATATTCTGAGCATCAACAGGTGGAAACCTGTTGGGTTGTAATTGAAACATTTTGGTGACTTCATGTTCCTAAGGAGATATTTGAATCAAATCAATGTTACATACTCATCATATCATGCTTGAGATTACAAATGGTTATAAAATATAATTTTTGTTTTTACAAAAGAAAAAAAATACTTCAAGAGCTTTAAGAGTTTTTTTTTTCTTCTTCTTTTTTCTTGTAGACTAGAGGAAGGTGAGTAAAAAAATTATAAATTAACATTAAGAAATTGAAAGTCAAGTTTAAAATGCACCCTGTTTGCCCTTTTCATAAAAATAAGCAGATATCTCTCAAAAACACTGTACTTTTACTCATATTCCAATAAAAAAGTAATAAAAAAAATGAAAAAACTCACTGTTTAAATGATAATTATACACACTGGTAAAATTATTTATGTTCATAGGTTTAATTCGAATTATTATTACAAGTATTTACTTTGTTAGGATTATTTTAAATTGGCAAAATTTTTTAAGTTTCTCTTTTTTTTCATGTGAGGAGGGTGGGGGCATATATTAATGAACTTAAGTGATTTTAAATTTTAAAATTATCTATTAAATAAAGACCTTTTTTCATAACTATAGTAAAAATTTTTGCAATTTTTTATTCAATTAAAAAAAAAAAAAATTTTAAATTTACTTTTTTTTTGAAAAAAAAATTTCTTCTCAGAGATTGTCTATTAGCACCTTTAATTATTTTTTATAAACTACGAATTTTTCCCTAGTTTCAATAATGCGTGCTAATTAATTTTTGAAATACAATTGATTTGAATTGCGCATTTGTCGAATTTCTTTTTAATGAATTCGATTTGTGATGATTTTATTGCTTTGTTGATTACATTTTTAACAGTCTAGAATTTCCACATAGGTTTTAAAATTTTGATTTCATTTTTAATATAGTATTATTATGATCTGTTAATTTCAAATCGCGCTTTTGACTAATCACTTAATGAGCAGCTTTATTCGTGCCAATTTCATCTCAAATCTGCAATTTTTTTCTAAATGTGAAATTTTTGCTCACTCTGAAATTGAGTGAACAAAATTATTACTTTGAAATTGAGTGAGCATTGAACTCTGAATTTCTTTTTAATGAACTCGATTTGTGATGATTTTATTGCTTTGTTGATCACATTTTTGACAGTCTAGAATTTCCACATAGGCTTTAAAATTTTGATTTCATTTTTAATATAGTATTATTATGATCTGTTAATTTCAAATCGTGCTTTTGACTAATCACTTAATGAGCAGTTTTATTCATGCCAATTTCATCTCAAATCTGCAATTTTTTTCTAAATGTGAAATTTTTGCTCACTCTGAAATTGAGTGAGCAAAATTATTACTCTGAAATTGAGTGAGCATTGAACTCTGAATTTCTTTTTAATGAACTCGATTTGTGATGATTTTATTGCTTTGTTGATCACATTTTTGACAGTCTAGAATTTCCACATAGGTTTTAAAATTTTGATTTCATTTTTAATATAGTATTATTATGATCTGTTAATTTCAAATCGCGCTTTTGACTAATCACTTAATGAGCAGCTTTATTCATGCCAATTTCATCTCAAAACTGCAATTTTTTTCTAAATTTGAAATTATAACTCTGAAATTGAGTGAGCATTGAACTCTGAATTTCTTTTTAATGAACTCGATTTGTGATGATTTTATTGCTGTGATGATTTTATTATTTTATTCATGCCAATTTCATCTCAAATCTGCAATTTTTTTCTAAATGTGAAATTTTTGCTCACTCTGAAATTGAGAATGTGATCCTTGGCGATAATAATAGCTTTATGCAAGAATGGAATTATTGTGATACCGGATTTTTTCAAGCTTCAGTGAAATGTCAGATTTTGTTTTCGTGATATCCAATTTTTTTCTTCATATTATAGCGAAAATCTGATTAAAATTAAACAAAAATCAGAAGTTGGGTAAATATCATAAACAAGTGGAAATTAGCAGAAAAGCAGATACTTTTTTTAATAAACTGGAAATGTAAAAAATAAATTAAAAAAAAATTTTTTTGAAAAGGGGAAAGAGTTTTGTTTATTTTAAAAAGTGTTCAGCCTTCCAACAAAAGGACGTCAGGTATATGGGACTTTGTATCAGCATTTTAGTTTTACTATAATACAAAAATATATACAGGAATAAAAAGGGAAAAAATGAACAAATTACTTGTAGTAAAACATATTCTGCAATCAAACCAAATGGTCCACTTAATTTTTCATCCCAAAATAAAGCCTAAAAAGAAAGAAAATTCATTAGGATAGAAAACGAATTTATAAGGAATTCAATAAAGTATCTAATTAATTGTGAAATCTGATGGCATAGCAACCGTGAGCAGGTGAATTTTGCAATTAAACGCAAAAAAGCAAAATAAATTGTTTTAAAACATTTTAATTAATATTTTTTAATGTAACAATTAAATATTTATAAACAGTCACCTAATTTCTCGGTACCTAAAAGTTAGCTGGCTATCTAATTAATTTTAATTTAACAAAAAAAATTTAACTGTTTTTCATGGATATGAAAAAGAGGATAAAAAATGGAAATTTAAAATTAGTGAGAAAGTATTGCAACATTTCATTGTAGGAACACAACTAATTCATGAAAAGAAAGTTGTAAAAAAGGATTTCAAGCATGGCAATGCAAGAGCAGAAAAATTCGTTAAATGAAAGATTTTTCATAGACTTAAAAATTGTAAGAAACTAAGACATAAAAATCTAAGAATCTATATATACATATAGAAAAATATGAAACCAGTTTAAGGTTCGAGTTAGCAGTGTTCGACGGTATTTTAAATTGTTCAAGATTTAATGCTAAGCGTTAACTTTTAAACTATTGCCGATTCATCAATTTTGTTATCACTGTTAAATTTTTCAGATAGGCGATTCTGCCTACTGTGCAGAATTGTGTGCTAAATAGTTTGGGAACTATATATTAGCTTTAACTATACATAAAACCATACATTGTTCTATTATTTGAATTTCAATTAATTATTAGAAAATCTGGGGAGATTTCCATATCGTGATCTGTAGCAGAATAACAGCCGAGTCTTGGAAACTTCCGGGCAGTGGCCCACGAGAAACTTGAAAAAAACATCACAAAAAGGGACCAACTCTAAAGGTATAAATCCCGATAAGGAAATATCCCCGAAAATCTCCCTAGTAAGTCAGTTTTCCTATCATTTGTAAATGCATTAAAAATTGCTAAAATCGAGGGGCAATCCAATATAAATTTGCTCCGCAGTTGACTAATCGTGAAGACACAGTTCCCAGTAGAACATCGAAGTCAAGCATCAGTGGCTGAGGTCAGTAAGCGGGTGGGTGACCACTTTGATCAGCCTGCGTAGGGACCGAGGGTACGCAATATCGGTCCTCGTTTAACTGTTACATTAAAGTGCTTGACTTTGCGCGCAGGTCGTCAAGCTACCAAAGCAGGAGAGCCATCCCCTCTGCAGAGGATCAAAATTGCGACGGCATGTCTTTGGATCATCCTCAGGGATGTTTCTCAGATCGTCGCCAATAGCCCATTGTGCAGTTCTGTTGCAACGTAAATAAAATACCTACCAATATAAAATGTTTACCAATTTCTAAGAACCACGAGAGCCCGGTATGATGAGAAAATTAAGAACATTAACAAGTCAAATTTACAAATTAATATACATCAACAATGCACTTTTAACTCTTTGCTTAAATAAAATTTTAAAAAAAAGTAGAAAACAGTAGGTGTGAACATATTTTAAACACACCTTACTACCGGGACATTTATCAAGACAATCAAGCAATAACCGTCGAGCGTCATCTCTTAATAATGAAATATTCACTCTTCCATTCGAGAGGTGGGCCATTTTACTATACAAATCCAAATTAATTATTTATCATTTCACTCATACATTCAGGTTTTCAAATCAGATCGGCCCAATGTAAACATCGGCTGCTAACACGCTCTGATGCCAGATTCTTTTAGTTCGTAGTCAAATATTTATTCTGCTGAAAAAAATTTCAATTAAAACACTTTAAAAACTAAAATTTTGAAAAAACCTCACATTTTTTTTTATTTGAAAATTATTTAGGGCCAGTCATCATCAATGCTTTATAATTTTTTTTGTGATAGAATTTTATGAATGAGCAGACGAAAGGTTAATTACTTCCGTTATCCTGATGCTCCGTTACAGTTGATTTTGAGCTTGTTTTGGGTTTTTGGATTTTTAGACCGGCTTACTCTTTTCATATTATCATATGGTGGCTTTTAAATAATATTACAATGAGTGAACAAACGAATTCCGGTATAAGCATTGAAGAATACTTTGTCTACTATACATTTAAGTTAGATTTATTGGTTTAATTTGATATTTATATTCTGTTTCAGAGAAAGAATATCGAGAGAAACTTCTGAGGATGGTAAAGAAAGAGGTATCAAAGTTATTTTAATTTTATCTCAGATCTATAATCAAATTTTGTAAAATGAAATTATTGACCTAAAAGAATTTTTTCCTATGAGTGTAATTCATATTGTGCCGTTTAAATAATTGAAATTGCTACAAATGATTGCAAGTCTCACTTTTGCATAACAACTGAGGACCACTAGAATTTCTGACTATATACGATAATTTTTAAGTATAGGAATCGCACATTTCGGTATTTGATTAGTCTTTTATTATTGAAAAAATATTAGTGACATTTTTTATGAACATATATTTAAATAGTCTTTTTTCATGAAAAAGTATTAGTAAACTTAAACTATTATTATAAATTTGTTTTGAAATTATCAACAGTAAGTTATAAATTCAAAGAAAATCTTATCCTAATTTTTGGCACTACATTAATTTTGCTGTTATGAATCAAAAATGCTGATTTAGCAAAATTGATTTTGTCATTTCATCTTTTAAAATTGATATTGGGCTCTGATTATTTATTTTCTTCTGCAAGAAATAATTATCAGGCATATTTTGGAGAAATAATAGAGATTTGCTTTTTATTTTGTTTTTCATCTATACATATTTTATATTCTGATTCAAAATTTAAAGCATTAATAATAACCTTTACTTTCAAAATTTATATTCAACTATAATGTATTTTTCGATTACTATATGTTAGTCAAACATGAAGAATTACTGAAAATAAATTCATAGTTTGCTTGTACTTTCACCAACTTCACAATAATTATTATTTTATCACTGAATTTGCAATTACATAAGAATATTACCTTTCCAGGGGTCTGTCCAGAGTAAATTTAATACCGTTTAGTGGTACCTTCAGTAATGCAACTTTAGGAAAAACGGTAGTTTCGAAAAATATTTTTAAAAAAGCAAGTTTTCCTTGCAATCTATGGTAATGAGGAGTTGTGCTAACTGTCACTTTACAGGAAATCGAAATTCGAACATTTCTCTAAACATTCGAACATTTTCTTAAACACTATTCTAAATTTATTCTAACAGACCTTTATTTTTTATGAAAAATTTTTTTGATGTTTAATTATAGATATTAGATTTATAGATATTTTTGATCAAAACATTCACTGTTAAATTCATTTTGCTACTGGCAAAATTAATATAAAATAGTAAAAGCAATGTTCAAAATTTTTAGAATAACTATCTTAAGTTGAAAATTAGCTGACTGTTACATTTTTTAAAGAATATTTACATTGGTGCTAATTAGATAATTATTTATATATTAAGTTAATATAATGGATTGAAATTTGATTGATTGATGATAGTTTTGATAATTATGTACCTATGTACACTTAAAACTGTTATACTATATTAGAATAGAACGTAATAGTATTTTGTACCTGTATTTGGAAAAAGTCATTGACGTAATAATAGAAAAATATGAGTTTTAAAAGTAAATAACACATTAATGAATTAATTAAGGCTGGAAATAGAATCAAGATTAATTCAATGAAAGGGAATGTCATCATTAAGGAGAAGTGGTAGTACAATGCTATCCTAGGATAACAATAACCCAATAGGTTCAAAAGGTCACAAAGTGTGAGGTTTGGATAAATTGGTATCACCAAATTTTTAATAAGGTAAAAAATAAAACGAATTTTAAAAAATCAACATAAAAGACAATGTCATGCTATATCCAAATATAAATATATCATTCAACGCAATTTAGAGATGTTTCCAAAGAGAAATAAAACGTATACTGAAAACAATAGTAAACATACTAACCTCATACCTGAGACTGAAGAAAAGGAGAGACACCAAAATAAATTTTAAAAAAAACTTTTGATTCAGCACTAATTTTCTGTAATTCTTGAATTATATTACACGCAGCCATAAATTTTACTACAAATATTTTCGTTAGGATTAAGATATTCAAACAAGGAATCAAATGTGAAATTGAGCATTTTTAAAATTCCCTGAAATGCTTCTAGAAATGGGTGACGGGAGTGAGAAATTTGCTAGAAAGCGTAATGCCTAAAAAATAAGATTAAAGAGAAAAAATAAATTTAAATGGTGATAATAAGATGAATACAGAAAGAATGCTTACATTTGAAAGGGTCTTTAATTGTTAAAAGCATAAAAAGTAGATATTCATTTTACAGAAATTAATTACGGTTTGAGGATTTCATTAAAATCAAAGGGGAAAAAAAAAAGAATAAATTCCTTTGACACGGACAGAAAAATAGGGGACCGGAGAAAAATAGAGGACACACCGCTTAGTGTAACCAGCAAGAAAATCTGAAAGAAAGTGTTAAATCTTAAAAAATAATTCTTCAACTGGTATAGACCAAGAAAAGTAATCGTAAATTAAATTTAAAGAGCAGAGAGTTTGAAAATTGGGTGAATCAGATTAAGTAAGCACCCCTTAAAAAATAAATGAAGAAAATGGAACGACGGGAATAGAGGGCTATCTGTCCCCACAATGACCTCGTTGACCTGCGAAGAAGGGGGAGCAGAAAGTTAATATTCATTATGAAAAGAAAAGTGAAATTTTGCCAGACAAGATATTTTTAATAAAATAATGTATGTTAAAAGTGAGAAAACAAAACCCTAATTTAAGAAAATCACCTGGGAAATTTCTCATAAAATGAATTTAAATCATTATAAAAAAAAAGGAAATTATGGTTTAAAAAAATAAAAAGAAAAGATTTAAATAAAATGGTAAATTGGTACATTACACAAAGTGTAAATGTGACATTAACTATAATAAAAAAAAATAATTTGAGAGATAACAAAAAAAAAAACTTTTAATATTTGTTTTACATATGATTAAAGTTCATAAATTCATATGCATTTGTTTTGGATACCATGTCAATTTTTAAAAAAAAAAGTTTCAAATAACATTAAATAATTTTGACCTTAACTAAAATAATTAGACAAATGGCTTGGACGTAGAATGTATTTATAGATTTGTATAGAATGTATAAATAGATTTGTATTAGTAATCTGTGTGTTCTCAAAAATAATCTATTGTGTTTTCGCCTATTCAACATTTGATGTTACATTCCTATAATTTTACAAATCATATGTAATGCTTAAAAAATTTTAGAGTTATTTCATTAATAGTTATGTTTTATCATTTGCTTTTAAAACTATCAAGCATAAGAAAAAAAAATTTTTCAATGTAATATTTCGGGACACTTTGATAATGGTGTCAAAGATTTGTCTAATAAACAGTTCTTAAATATTGATGTAATAAAATTTTTTATTCTCATTTTTTGAATTAATTTTTTCTTCTAAAATCTTGAAAAAACATTAAATTTTACTTGTAGCAGAAATTTTTTAATGATTTACCATGGTATAAAAAAGTATATCAATCTCCTATATGCATAGAAAGATTTTGAAGGGTCATTGTTAAATAATGTTAATTCTAATTTAATTACAGAGTTCTTCCTAGAACTAAAAAAGGGCAGGGTGCCCTTTCACAGAAAGCATCACTGAAAAGGGCACTTTGAGTTTTGGAAGGACACTCATTTACCACCGTTAAAGTTTATCAAAATGTATAACATTACGTAATAACTGAATTTGAACCTCAACAATTTTTAAATTGCCCTCGTATTCTATTTTATTTTTGTATTAATAATTCTCACTCTTTATCGAAATAAAAGAAAAATTTATAGTTTATAAGAAATAACTGAAAGCATTCTAAAAGACAATCACTGTGTACAAGTTTTTTTCATAAAAGTAAACAAAAAAAAGTAATAATAATAATAAATTATTAATTGATAAACAATTTTAAAATTTTTTTCTATAATTTAAACTGAAAATTCTGAGAAAATAAAGAATTAAAGTACATTTTAAAAAAAATGGTACTTATTTAAAAAAAATTAATTTAAAATTAAAAATCAGTTAAAAATGCATTAATATACTCCCCTTTCCCCCAAAAAAAGTTAACCAGTTTAGAATAATCCTAACAACAGAATTAAACCTATAAACACAGATAATTTTATTTGTGTGTAATTATTAAAACTGTGAATTAATTTTTTTTAAAAATGGAATATGAATATAAAAGCTGTGTTTTTAAGGGATGGCTGCTTATTTTTACAAGAAAGGCACAATTAAGGGCACGCTGGGCCTTTCTTAAAGCACTTATTGAGAACAGTGATAATTAACATGAATTCTTTTATATGTACTTAAATTATTTTTACATGATTAGGTCACACAATGCTGCAACTATTATGCAGTATTTTATTTAACTTGTATTTATTGTTTTCAAATGTATTCAAAATCTGATTTTAAAAAAAATTTGTAAATTCCTAAAAAAATATGCATTTATTTTACAAGAGACTCTATACATAGCTTTACTTGCATTAAGTTATGTCAGTTAGACAATTGAGATTTAAATTTGCAAACAATATTTCTTTCAAGTCAAAATTACCATTCTTTTTATTTTTTTATATATTCTTTTAATTAATAATGTATTCAATCAAATTATTTTATTAAATTCCTAGGTGAAGCAAATAATGGAAGAAGCAGTTACTCGGAAATTCGTTCATGAAGACAGTAGTAGTATAACTTCCTTGTGTGGTAAGCATGGATTTTGTAGATCCCTCATGGATGTGCTTTATTTTTGAACTTTGAGCAATTTATAGAATTATACCTAATATTATTCTAAGTTTTGGAGATTTTGGAAGTATTAAATAAATATCTAGTTCTGTTAATTACAAATAAAATGTGATTTAAATTATTAATATTTCTTTCAAAATTTGTGGTTGTTATGGGATTCAAATTTTAATTGTGCATTGTGTGTCATTGTTACGGATGCCGGCAGGGGAGTGCAAGGAGGTGCACTTGCACCTCCCTGGGGGTTTTTTTTAAACAATTAAAGAGATACAGAAAAAAAATTTGCTATAAAAATTTTTTAATAGAAATATTTTTATTCAAAAACAAATAAATTAAGTAATTATTGATACATGACATTTAAAAAATTGTTTAATCAAGCAAGAATTGTAATCCTCTTGTTTGCTGTCCAAATCTGTTTATAACTTTTTCAATGATTTCTGAGTCATTTTTAATTCTTTTCTTATGCACACTGAACATGCACAAACTACTTAATCTCTCGTGAGACATTGTAGACCGATTTCATGTTTTGATGTGTCGCATTGTACTAAAAGTGCATTCAATAGTGCACGCAGTAGCTGGAAGAGTTTGGCCAATTTTGATTGCCTCCGCTACTGCTGGATAAAACAGTGTGGCCTCAGTAACTAAATCAATGTATTCAAGGGATTCATAAGAATTTTCTCTATTCCTCCATATTTTGTTAGAGGGTTGCACCACCTTTCATGTTATTCTGCTGGTGCCCTTGGTCATTGTTTATAGTAAGCAATGCAATAAAGGGCCATGTGTATGTGTGACACTTTGAAAATTTTTTTTTCTTCTATGATGTTCAATAGTTGTTTCACCATGAAAGTCTTTTGTATGCAATCATGTTCCATTTTCAAAGATGAACTTATGATTTTTTTTAATTGTAAAAATATGAGAGTAGATTTTAATGAGTGAAATTTCAATCTATTGCTTGTACTTATCGGCTATAGTGACCATGTGTTGGTGATTGTTTTGCGAGTTGGCGCCAACGCGAATAGTAGCTCCGTATGTTTGAATTACGGTATCGGTTCGGTTGTATTGACCCAAAATATTGTTATTCAATGCATTGCAATATTTTACCAATTGAACTAACTTATATTATTTTTACATTAATCAATATTTCTGTTACTGGAAGAAAATTTAATACTCAAAACAATATTGAATTCAATAATTATTGTTGTAAAATATTAGTCACAATTTGTTTTTTTGTTATGTTATAAATACTAATCACAATATTATTGTATAAAATAATGACAGTAATTTATAATGGATCAGATATTCTCATGTTCAAAATGCATCGTTATTATTAATGGTAAGTATGTGATATGCTTTATTTGACATAACTATGTTTATAATGGGTAGCCCTTAACTCATGTAAACCAGAATCTAGGGTTTGTTGTCTTATTTGGCTTCGTGGACCTTATAACTTTATATATTACATTGTTTCCAATTTAAAGAATAATAAGTATAGCTCGTTCACCAGGAGTTGGCACTTGGCTCCACCTTCATCACGTGGTACGCAGCATTACTATTTCTCTATTTTTGGGAGAAGGTTGTGAGCAATCTTGAGCAAGGTTGCCATTTGGCGATCATATGACAAAAATATTTATTTCACAATCTAAATGTGCATTTTTTTAACATTAAATATTTCATAAATTTGATGATATTTCACATCTTTTTTTATGATATTTTTTTGAGTGAATAGTTTGTCCTTTTTGAGACATTTTTACTGGGAAAACAGTAGTTTTTAAATTTAAAATATATTTAATTAGATAGAGTTACGAAAGGTGTAATAGCAGATGATAAAGTGAAGTAAGTGACTGAAAATAATTAACCGTTGGTGTTTGGCATGCATTAAGGGTTGTTTCAGTTTCAAGCGCGGAGATGTTTCTCTTCTTACTGCCGTGCTGAAATTTACTATGCGTCCAAGGAGGTGGAGCCAAGTGCTAACTTCTGGTGAACGTACTATACCTTATTATTCTTCAAATTTGAAACAATGTAAGCATTTGAAATCGTATCTTTAAATATCAAGGAAGTGTTTTGGAGGATTTCTTCTTCCAATTGTTTTTTATTGTAAAGAAAACAATAAATTTCAGTTATTTATAACATTATTAAGACTGAGACTGTAAAAAATAAATTAATACCTTATTATTTTTTGATTTTAGCTGCTGTAGATGCTTGTTTGTCGCATGGCTTAAAACGCAGAGCATTGGGTTTGTTTAAAACAAACTCAACCACAGCTCTGCTTCAGAAGCTTTCTAAAAATTATGAGGAAGCCGCTGAAATTGCTCGAATGGTTGCAGAGGTTGAAAATATTGATCCCAATAAGTAAGGAATACTTTTATTATATATATACAGGGTTTGGCATTTTGTCCAAAAGCGTACCTGCCAAGTCTCCTGTATTTTACTACTATCTCCTGTTTAACCGTATATTCTCAAATTTCTCTGTATTTGTTGAAGAAATTTAAAAAATAAACTTTTGGCGATAAAATATCCGCTAATTGCAAAAATACTTCTCTTATTCCTAAATAGGTGGTGCTATTGCCAGTTCTGCAGTAGGTTGAGTGTTTTATTTATTTTTATGTAACTGTCACTTAACAGCCGACAAAATTTTGGGTTTACAACTACTAATGTTCAACTCCGTAGCCTTGTAATTTTGAATCAATCCAGAGGACAAGGAAACTCCTGAATCAGTCCCTCCAGAGGTATGATTTGTTATGGGAACATGGAGGACTTTGTGACTCAATAGATTTAACGTGCATCAGTCACCATTTACTACACGTGGAGTCTTCGGCCGGCAGGGATTGAACCCAGGACCTCCTGAACATGGGTCCAGTGCCCTACCAACCAGGATATCCCAGCCCTAGGTTGAGTGTTTATCGTCTCGTATTCAAGGGATCGTTTTGTATTCAACGCTCAATTCCCTGAGCCATGATGGCTCAGGGAATTGAGCGTTTGCCTTCCAATGAGGTGAACTGGATTCGAATCCCAGTGATGGCTGGTCGATAAGAATTCCGCATCCGACTTGCACCGACCACAGTGCTGACGTGAAATATCCTCTGGTAGGCGGATCATGGGTTTGATTCCCCTTGCCAACAGGCTAACCGTGAGAGGTTCTTGTGGTCTTTCTCTCCATGTAACGCAAATGCCGGTTAGTTCCATCAAAAAGTCCTCCGCGAAGGCAAATTTCGCCTAATACTTGATCCAGGAGTTTTCTTGTCTTCTGGATTTGGTCAAAATTACAAGACCACAGAGTTGAACATTGGTAGTCATAAACCCAAAAATTGGGTCGGATGTACAATGCCGATTATTAAATAAAATAGTCTAAGTAATTCCAACTAATAATTTTTAAAAATCTTGTTTAGATTAAGATTTATATACATATTTTTTAATTCGCGAAATGTAAGTATATTATTTCTAATTTTAAATTTCTCATACTTGATTACGCGTGATCTATCAAAACTTTACTCGAGTAAAATCTGGGTTATTTTATTTCTCCATTATTAGCAGGTATGCAAAAGAGATTTTACTGGAAGAAATTGGACAATTTAAAAGAAACTAAACATGCTGAATATAATTGTTTAGTAGTAAGCATTATGAGGATAGGTTAAATTTAAAAAAATTAAATTTAATGCAGTATCAGAAAATTAAAAATTTTTAAGATTTCTCCATAAAACGAAGTAAAACAACTATTTTCATATTATTTATTTTAGTTTTATACAGAATTTTAAAACCTGTATATCATATTACAGGGTTGCCACTCGACAGGGAAAACTGGGAAAATACAGAGAATTTAAAAATCACCTAAAATAATAGGGAAAATGCTGGGAGTTTTGAGTTTTTCTTTAGAAACTGGGGAAATACAAGGAATTTTGTTTCTTATTTTCGTCTTTTAAAAAGTGGTGACCACTCAAAGTGCAATCTATAGGATATTTAAGGATGATATTTCATCTATATTAAACTAGTTCATTTACTATAGCATTATTTGTTTTAAGTATGTTCAACCGTTCCTTTTTTCTTCAAGTTTTTCAGCAATTATAACTAATATAGTTAACCTAATACAGCTCATATAAGAGCACAGTGGTTGTGTTTTTCCTCTTAATATCTTGTATATAATATGTGCAGGGAAAACACAGGGAATTTTTCTTCCAGATTTGAGAGGCAACCCTGTATTATTTAAGAATCAGTTTGACTACTCATACTTAACAGTAACTTGATTATAAGCATTAGTATGCTATTTGGTACTGTGAATTCAAAATGAGATTCGCAGTTGTGTATTTTTGTAATATATATGTATTCAGTAATTTAGACATACATGAAATTTGATTATGATATTTTAATAGTTCCTTACATAAGTATAAAATTAGATTTTATCATACTCATTCATGTAAATATTATAGTTAAAGAATTACAGTTATTTTAGTTTTGTATGAAATTCATTAAATTTTTTCTTACAATTGTTACTTTTTACTTATTTAAAAGTGACATATGGTCAAATCTTGTTTTAGCGAATTCCTGGGGACCGAAGCAATCGCTACACAATAACGAAAATTCTTTATACCGATATTACGAATTTCAGCATTAACCAAAATTACTTTGTTACATTGGAATTTTTCGCATAAAAAAATATATATATTTCATTTAATTACAGTTTTGATCTATTTTTACTCTACATGTAGAAAATATTCAGATCAATATTTTAAAAGCTCACAAAAATAATTTAACTAAAAGGAACAATGGATTTATTATCACTTACCTATCAGAAATTATGTAATCTGTATGTTTTTCTGAACAAATGATTTGGAACCAGTAGAAATTACGAACTTCTCCAAATTATGCACATTTTCAAGCAACTGAACTTGAAATCACTCTTTTGGAAAGCTACACTTCATTTTACTTCTTGAAACATGAATGAGTTGGGATTTTGTTTTTTTAGGGGAGTCCCTTTCAAGATATTCGTCTTTTTTGACATGGCCTTTTCATATCTGAAACTTTTTATTTTGAAGATGCAAAAATATTTGATTTCTGAGATCATTGTGTACTTTTGAAGAATGGAAAAGTGTTTTGATCACGTGAAAAAATGAGAAATTGTTACTAATTTTCGAAATTAGCAATCCGATTTAATGAAGGTGAACTTCATTTAATCGGATTGGGAATTTCGTAATATCGTTTTTTTTAAATTCATATTTCATACGGAGATTCATTTGGGGATTCAGAAAATATTCGTTACATTAAAAGTTTCGCTATTTCGGATTTCGCTCAAACGAGATTTGACTGCTGGAAAATTAATACTATTATCTGACCTGTATTCAAATTGTTAACAACTGCTTAAAAAAAATTCTGATATTTCTTTTTGAAAAAGAGTTTAGACCATTTCTTCCACTTTATTCTGAAGAAACCTATTTCTGTTTGGGTTTTTTTTTCTGCAGTTTTTTTTTTCACTATGGAAGAAATTTGCCATCCCTCTTTATAAAACTCGCAACTATTATTGTTTTAGTTAAAAATAAAAGTTTTCTAAAATATGTTTTAAAATACTTTAAACACAGACTTTTGTTTGGTTTATTAGGAGGTCGGCATCTAGCAGTGACAGTACCAACAAAATTCGCTTGAAGCCCGAAAAAAGACAAGCGTCTAGTCCATCTTTAAATCCAACACAGCCTAACCCCCGCTACTTGTGGATAAGATTGGCATTGTTTGAGAAAAAATTGGCCAAGATAGTTGATCACCTTGTTCAGAATAGCAAGTAAGAAGATCAAGCAATTTTCTAACATAGTTACCACTTTTCTCTCCCCGGCCCATCAAATGATATCATTTTCTGAACCCTCTTCCCATCTGCTAGTAATATTGTAATAATATCATTACCAGTATCAATGTATGGTCATTAAATGCACTTTTACTTAATCTCTTTTTTTCTCTCGATATTTTTGTTTCATTAAATTTTGCTTGGAATTATTATGCAAAATGCAAATGATTTTTCTAAAAGTCATCCACTTGCCCATTTCATTCAATTATAAATTGAATTAAATATATAGAAATAAAAACAAAACTAAAGCTATACAGATTATCATCTGAATTAAAACTCTGGTTCTACTATAGCTAAAAGTAAAGTTTATATAGATCCTTAAAATTAACTATATAATAAAAATGAAAAAAAGAAATGCTATAGGTCAGATACTTAAAAAATAAAACTACTGAAAAAATTTTCACCACATTTGCTCATATATTTTTATTTGTTTTAATACTATATATGTATATTTATTAATGTGCAAACTGATACCTGTGTAAGTTGGGCAAAACTTCTTCATTGTTGTATAACTTAGATTAAAAGAGTTTCTCAAAATTTGAAAGTTGTGTTCTGAAAATAATTTTTTTCATATTCTTAGGCATGATACCTTTAATTTTCAGTTAATTTGATTCAAAATTTAGTTTAATTTAATCTTAAAAATAAATTTAATTTTTATTATTCACAAGTTTAATATCGTGCTTCAATTTCACGGTGATTGTGTTTTAGTTTCCCACTGAGTGAAAGATAGGTACAGACTTTTAAAACTTTGAATTAATGCCACCATTTTTATAAATTTCTTTTTAAAAAAAATATCCCAAATTCAAATTAAAACTGCATAAAGTGCATTTACTGTTAAATTATAATTAAAAAAATCTGTCGAATGATGCTATTAGCAAAGACGCTTTCAAAGAGATGTTCTGTAGCATCAACTATATGCGCTTCATGTTTTGCGGAATTTATTTTATTAATTAATTTAAATTAATTGTGTCAACGTGTATGTTTTTATTATTTTGCAATCAACACATTTTTTTAGCAAGAAAGAAAAAAAAATCAGCAACACTATACTATCTAATATTTCTGAATACCTAAAATTGATTATTTTTAAAAAAAATTCTTGTGTCACATTTTTGAATGCTTCTTAAATATAGTTACTTTCCCTTTTAAAACTCATTAAAATAAATATCTTCTTTGAAATTTCACTGTAACTTAAAATTATACTACAGTCCTCTTGTTCTAAGGGACTTATTCTAGCTTCTATAATCAAACTAAGCCAATTTGATGTGTAGTATAGTAGATTTTTTTTTAACTGAGAGTTTTTTAATTTTATTTTTAACGTGACTTTTTTTTTACAAGGGCAAAAAATAATGAATTAAAAGTCTCATATGATCCAAAAGCTGTCTTTGTCCAAATAACAAAAATGTATTTTTGTTCTGTGTCCGTAGTTGAAATACCAAACTTTTCTGAGAGCAAAATTGTATTAAACTCAATAGCTTTGCTTTTATACATTTCATTAAGGATAATGTTCTGTATTGCATTTCTTTTAAACTGTAAATGAAATGTTATATTTTTTTTAGTTGAAAATTTTTTGTTATAAAATGGTGTATTTTGTAAGGGTAATATTATTTTTCTAGTAAATATTTTGAAAAGGAAGCTTTGGTTGCTGACCCAGTTTGTGGACAAATTTTAGCATCTCTTTTAGGTGAGTTGGTAATAAAATTATATTATTGAGATAATTAATGGTAAATGTGGGAATTTATCCACAAATAAATAGATTATTAGATTTAGTTGTTTAGATATTCTTTTTTTATATGCCATCAGAAGCAAGCACCACAGATTATTTAAATTCCAGGCAATTCTAAGCCAAATTTTGTTGCTATGAGATAATTATTGTTATAATTTTTAATTTGCCAAAATATTTAATATTTTGACATGGATTTTCCATGTTTTCTCGATGTTTATATATTTATATGATGCATCAAGTCAAAAAATTACTTCTCCATCCATTAATTAATTATGCTTTAATAGTTGGGCCATGCGCTCTTGATTATTCCAAAGTGAAAACACAAGATCACTTCTGGACAGATCCTCCTGCTGATGAATTAGTCCAGCGTCATAGACTCTCTACTGGAGTACCAGTTCTCAATGGCTCTTCCACACCACCATCTGTTAAAAGACCTGGTCTTCAGGTAATAATTAGTCTTGAATTTTAATTCTTTCTTTTCTCTGAACAAAACAAAATTACCTCAACACTATATTCACATTCATGGAGATAGTGTAATGTACTCATTTTTATAGATGTTTAAAGCAAGGATAGCTTTCGCTTATACATGGTGCGTAGCGTTTTTAAAAAGTACTTAAAGGTTGCTTATTTTCGATTTTTGTTATTTAAAAGCCCTTAAAGGTGCTTTTTTCATTGGGTGTTTTTTAAGCCTAACTTCCTCCTAAACTCCCTTTTCAAAAATTAGATTTTTTCATTGTCATGTCGATTTTCGCCACGTATTATGCAAAAGTGTGCTTTTCACATTGTTCTATTCAACATTTCGCAGTTCGGAGTACCGTCGGTCCATAGCGTATGAAAGTGCTCATCATTTTACTTGTTTGATAAAATACTTGCGAGTCCGTATGTGTGTCTACTGAGTTGGTTTCAGTGAGATTATTGTCTTCTCATGTGAAACTCTGCTGCATTTCGCAAGATATTCTCAATTCCAGGCTTCATTTTCCACCCTCTGAAATCAAACCGAAAAATCTTTCGATATTTTTATAGTGGCTAATATAATCAAGAAAAGAGTTCTTTCTCAGAAACTAGTTATTTTATTGTGATCATGTAAAGTTTTTAAAAATTATTTAGCATTTTGTTAATGTATATAGTGCTTAAAAATATTTTTTGAGTGCTTGAAAGGTACTTAAAAGGTGCTTATTTTTTGTTGAAAGATTTCGCTATGTACCCTGTTACAGTTTTGCTAGCACTCTATTATAGTAAAAAGCAATTCTTCAAACCACAATTTTCCATAAAATACATTGAATTTGCAGCTGTGAACAATAAAAATCAGACCGAAGAGATTTCGAAAGTGAGTAAGAACCATTAACTGCTTACAAAAAAAATTATTTGCTGAGAGATTTGACTCTTAAAGCAAAGCAAAATTGATAAAAAAAAAATTGTTCTTAATTCTAATGCCCTAGATAATTAGATTTTTTTCTGTAAATAAGAAATACTGAAGTGCATTTTTTTTTTTTTTTTTTTTTTTTTTTTTTTTTTTTTTATTTNTTTTTTTTTTTTTTGCATTTGCAATAATTTGCATCTATAAATTATTTTGATCGATTGTAAATATGTATTGCAATGCTTAATAGCTTAACTTAACCCACTGACGGTTCTGCACGTAAAAATGACCTGCAGTCTTCTCCGCATAATAAAACCGGTTATTCCATGTTATTAGATAGGAAAATAGTGTATGGGGAGAAATATTCTAGCAATTTTGCCCATTTGTTAAACCACCAGTAGGTTAATTATGTAAGAAATGATATAGATAACATAAAATTCTATGTAACACTAAATGCTCACTTTTCAAGGTTTGCATTGTGAGAATAGTCTATTCTAATAAAACAAATTGTATATTAGACCTGTGTTTTTTTCAGTTATTTTTTAAGTAGACCAAGGTTAAGTAATCCATGCCTGTATACTCAGGAGTGTATAGTTTGTCTATGGTGAGAACTCCCTCCTATACGAAGTCGGAGGCCAGCTGCTGCTATGGAAACAAGAATGAGAATAGCCCTTTTCAGGATGGGTAGCTTCTCTTCACTCTAGGGCAGACACAATAGACCGAAGAAAACGATTCCCTTTCTCTGACCAACCCGAGCCAAAAATCTGTCCGAAACAGTGACCCCACACCCCTACTTGAAATAGTTATACCTCGTTACCATAGTCACTGCCATGGGCCCAGACAAATGGCTAGGGAAGTTCTTACTTTAGACAAACTATACTGAGTTTTTCCCCCACATCTTATTGATTGGTTTTAACATAATTTTGTTTAAAAAGTCAAATTCTCCTGCTCAGAATGAAGAAAAATCAGAAACATATTGAGATTTTAAAATTTTTTGAGCTACTTTTTATGTAGTTATATTTTTAGGTGTAATAGATGAACATCCCTGTCTCATTCTGCTGTCTCTTATAACCTTCCATATATCCATATGTAATTTTTTTTTTCTAGAGAGAGAAAATAAGTAATAATTACTTATTTTCTCTGACACTTAATAATTTATTTTATTTTTTTTCCCTTCAGTACAAGAGAGATACAAGAATATCTGCTAGTACTGAAGAAGGTTGTCGAGTTATTCCTCGGGATTATGTTGAATCCCTACATCAAAACTCTAAGTCTACTTTATTGTATGGAAAAAATAATGTTTTAGTACAACCTGTAAGTAAATTGGTGAGTATTTTGATCCACAAAACAATCAATTTCTATTTTTTTCCAAAAATAATGCAATGTTCAATAAAGTGTGTAAGTATCCACTCTTTATTATGCTTAATAAAGCAGACTAAGTTTGTAAATGTATGTCATAACCCTAGCAACAATTTTATCTCAACTCCAGTTGGCCTAAAATTGGCTCAATATGTATTCTATATGAACATGCACCAAGAAATTTATTGTCTAGACTTTTTAATATTGTTCCTATATAGGACCGCCAATATTGGCCTATATCCAGCTAATAAACGGCCTATATTGACTGAATAAGGAATATAAAATATCTGGTGAATCGGACAATTCTATAGCCTGATTGGTAGGGCACTGGGTCCATGTCCAAGAGGACGTAGGTTTGATCCCCGCCGTCCGAAGACTTCCCGTGTAGTAAATGGTGACTAATACACGTTAAATCTGTTGAGTCTCAAAGTCCACCATGTTGCCATAACAAATCAGTACCTCTGGGGATACTGATCTGGGAGTTTCCTTGTCTTCTGGATTGGTTCAAAATTACAAAGCTACGGAGTTGAACATAAGTAGTCGTAAACCCAAAAATTGGGTCGGCTCTTCAACGACGGTTATAAAATATAATATAAAATAGGGCAAATATCGGGAAATAACGGCTATTGAGTTCTTATTGAGCCAAGATTCGTGAATATTGCTCCAATGAGGGCACAAGTTATTTTGCTGCTAGAAAAACTTGTCAATTTCGGTAAATATTTGAAGAAAAAAGATTAAGCACTAATTGTAAACAAACCAACATAAATGTTAAAAAAGAACTAGTTTCACTTTATGTAACCAAAATGTACCTAAAAATGCCTTGTTTCGGTATTATTTCATGATTAAAATTTTTCGTTCTTCACCATAATTTTCTGTAAAATTGTAATTATGAACTATGTTGTGTTTCATCCAATTTCTTGGTTTTATTTAAATTCTAAACTTAATATATTAATAAAATGTGCAATATGATTTTGATTAACATCATTTTTCTTACTAAAAATATTTATGCATTATATCTTGCTCTTCCCAGAATAGATGCAGCATGGTTTTCTGAATACTAAATAATTTTTATTATAAACTTACTTCCTTATCAAATTTACATTATTTATTTTCAAACCTACACATTCTTGGCACGATTTAATTCTCTTAGCTTTTGGCGACAATTAACTTGTCATTTACCCTAGTTCTTTTCCTGCTTCTAAATAAACCTATTTCTTCTCGAATTTTTTGATGGAATTGTTGAACGAAACTTTTTATGTAAATTTCCCCAAATCTTTAATGGATCCAAAGCTGATTATAGTATTAGAAAATGGGGCACTTGCCTGGAGCTTAATATTTTAGAATTCTTCTAAACATGATCACTGAAAATTAATATTACGAGTTTTTATTTTAATTTAACTGTAGTGCGTCTAAAGGTTCAAAACTACAATTCCACTGTAGTGTATCGATCACTACAAAAATACAATTCCAATTTACAAGTTTATAAGACTTGTTAACTAGATTTTATGTTGGAGTACCTTTTCATAGATGAATGTTGAGATTGTCGATAATTACTATCCCCACATAGCTACCAATCGATATATGTAAGCATAGTTTTAAATTGATAAAGGCTCACTCAACATAACCAGACCATGTAGTGGTTGAATAAAGTATACTTTCATAATACTGCCACAAAATCAAATCATATTTATTTATTTACCCTGCAATAAATACAGCAAAAGTTCTCGCTGCCACAGGAATTTATATTTCATCTAATAAAATAAGATTTAATATTAAGCTAGCGAGAATTCACTGCATGTAGAAAAAACCCTTACAATATCATTTTAAAATTTCTTTTATATACCAAAAAAAATTTAAATGGAATTAAAGCGTTCTATTTAATGCCATTTTTTTTAAAGACTCTGTCTGCATAGGAAACTATTCTTTTTTGATAATATTCTATTTTCAAAATTGCTACAAATTTTCAACAGTTATTGATAGCTGTTAAAAGTTTAGCTTATTTTTAGCCAGTTCTCTCTATACTAACTCTGAAATATGGCAATATATCAATAGGAAAAAAAGTCACAGTTTTGAGAAAGGAAAAGCGGTTTTTTATGATCTAATTTTATTATATTTGAAAAGCTACAACGTTGTCTTGGCTTATAAAAATTTGTAAAAAACGAGAAATATTCACTGATTTTGAATTATTTCCATCTAAATGTTAAAAATATTGCTGAATCGGTGATTTTTTAAAAAAAAGTTTAAAAACTTAATATATTTAAGTTATTTGTCATTTCTAATGCTCAGATAATTCTCCATGTCAAGCTGGTACATCTAGCTTAAAATTGTATATTTTCCTCTAATGTAAGGTGCTTAAACTATAGCTTTTTTATTTTATTTGGTGAGAAAAGCAATGTGAAGATATTTTGTTGCATAAAAAACAGCTTTATCCAACTTGTTTTTTAATGTTTAATTTATGAATGTGGAAACGAAGACTACCATTCAGCTTATTAGTTCCAATAAAAAAAATTTAGTTTAGAGCCGTGATGGAACAGGGAATAGAGCGTTCCCCTCCTAATGAGGTGAACCTGTTTTCAATCCCAGCGATGGCTGGAAGATACAAATTCCTCATCTGGCTTGCACCGACAACAGTGCTGACGTAAAATGTCCTCAGTGGTAGACGGATCATGGGTTAGAGTCTCCATGCTGTCTGGCTAACCGTGGGAGGTTTTTGTGGTTTTTCTCTTCATGTAATGCAAATTATGGTTAGTTCCATCAAAAAAGTCCTCCACAAAGACAAATTTCTCTCAGTACTTAATCTAGGAGTTCCCTTGTCTTCTGAATCGGGTTCAAAATGACGAGGTGACAGAGTTGAACATTGGTAGTCGTAAACACAAAAATTGGGTCGACTGTTCAACGGAAGTTATAAAATAAATTAAAAATTTTTATGTGTTTACTTACAGAAGGAGCATTTAGAAGCAATGCCTGGCTACTTATCATTGCATCAAAACCCAGAAGGTCTTATCATTAAGTGGACACCCAATCAGCTTATGAATGGATGCTACAGTACTAATGACAGTGCAACAGATTCCAGTCAAGATAAAAGGTTGTTTTTCTACCTCACTCATAAATATCATATTTTCAAATATTTTAAAATGGATTCCATTTTTTTGCTCCTCTTACATATTTAAAAGCTAAGAAACAATGGTAATTACCTCTCTAATAAGAGAAAACAGATCTTAATAATTGTAATTACGCTAATTTTCTTTTTATAATTGTGTGATATAACAGGACCATTCTAATCTTCAGTAAATTGCCAAATTCAAGTTTACAATTCTGAATACCAATAGTAAAATGATTCCATGCTATTTTTTGCCCCATTTTGAAAGATATTTTAATAGCTGTTTCAATTTATCATTCTAAAAATACATGAACCGTTTCACTAAATATTAATCGAGATATTACTGAATTTTATAAGAAATAGCATGTTTACTTGAAAAATAATTTCTCAAACATGAAGCTATTATAAGATTAGTTAGAGTTTAAATTACAGTTACACAATAAAGAAATCTAAATACTGAAATTAGACTTTTTGAATTTAATAATTCTTTTATATATATATTCATGCTTTAAAAAAATTTATAATGCCAATAAATTATGAGCGAATATATTTTAAATTTAAAAAAAAAATAATTGGCAATAATTTTTAATGAAAACATTTTAAAGTTATGCAAAAAAATTTGACTATTATCAGATTTTATGATATTTTCAAAAAACAAGTATTGGGTGTTGTGTATCATGATAAATATCTGTTAACTGCTTGCATTGGTGATACGATAAAAGATGCTTTTGTCTAAATATCACCAACAACTTGCTGTTCATGGCATCGGGCATTCATCACAAAAATAAAAATAACGTTCTTGGTTCCAATCACAGGAATAGAACAGTTTTTTCCAATTTCTATAAAGGAGGGCCCACAGGCACAGAAATGTTATGCTGTTTAAATTGCACTAAGAAATTACATGTACATAAAATAAAGCAGTTTTAACTTATGCAATAATTTTAACAAATTTAAACATGTTTTGATTACACCAAAAAATCAATGTATATAAAATAAGCATTTTTAAACTATGCATAAACAAAGATAGTTATCCCTTGCAATCTTCGAATACTAAAATGACTTTGAAAACCATGGAAGCTAATTAAAATAGAGGTATAACAAATGAAAAACAAGCAAAAGGTATGAATTATTTCGTCAAACTTAGCAGTTATTAAAATATCCTTCAGTGCACATCAGACATAACCAGTTTAAAAGTTATTTTCCCATAGTGATGTGTAATTCTTAACTCTTTCGATTATTACTTTATTTATCTAAATGTAAAGACTAAACAGGGTTGGTGGTCAAGCATTTTTAGAAACATTATGACTTAACATAAAACCTACTCACATTAATTTATTTTACATCGATATTTTTTCAGAAGCGCAATGATGTGTCAACATTTGCTGGAAGTGAGAGTTGAGTACCTAAAAACTTCATCGCAATGAAGAAAAATAGATTTCGTATGCCTTTTTTAGTTTTCCTTGTGGAAAACTATTTAAATTATTGGTGTGTTATGAAAATCAATCACTATTTGTAAAGAGAAAAACATAATGCAAACTTTATACATTAGAATAAATTTTTTTCAAAGATATATGTGGCACAGGGCACCAATGTTGTGGGCAAAGGGGACCCGGGCACTGCTCGAGAGTGCCCATGCGTAAAAACGGTACTTCTATAAGGCATCAATCACTTAATGAGTGAGTTGTAATGGAATAAATGCATCTGTGAATTTCGTGCCTGTGCGAGTGATTGATTAGTAATAATTTCAAAGTATTTGTTGGCAAAAATTTTATTTTCAATGTTTTATACAAGTATACTGTTTTACAAATATTGAGAATGTGAAAAATCTTTAAAGTATATTTAGGGAAAATTGTTTTCGTAAGACTCACCAAATTTTAACTGTAAAACATATAAGTTTTATATTTTAATATCCTATGCCATTAATTAGAAAGATCATCTTCTGTAAATGTTTAATTACAATTCATTTTGGAAATTATAAATGTTTATAGTAATTGCTTATTCATTATATATTGGTGTGTTATTGATTTAAATTTAAAATCAATTTAAAATGTACTTTTATACAAATCAAAATAAACTTTTATACAAATTACAATGTACTTATATACAAATTTTACTTTCAATTTAAAATGTACTTTTATGCAAATTGCATATAGAAATATTGTTTTATTGAAATTCTTTGAATACTTTTTTTTACAGCATTTATTGGGAGTATGCTATGAGTGTATCAGTTGATGAAGTTGTGTACATGCATTGCCATCAAAATGGTAGGTACATCCTATTATTAGTCTAAGCTAATTGTATTTGTTATATATTTGTGAAAGTAATTACAAATGGGAAACCTAGTCGATTGTCAGTATTATTTTCTTTCCTTTTGAAACTCTAGACCAGGGTTTCTTAACCCCTAAGGGGTCCATGAGTCATATTTTGGGGGTCCGCTAACTACTCCTAATTTTTAAAACGTTTGGAAGCCTACCCATTGCTTGTAAAGCTATCTATGGCAGCTATAATTCCGTTTGCTATGGTGTATCTTTGCGAAGCGGGATTTTCCACACTCGTGACAATCAAAACAAAACATCGAAATCGATTGAATGTTGAACATGATATGCGTGTTGCTTTGTCGAAAACTATCCCCCAATTCAATTTGTTAACTAAGGAAAAGCAGCAGCAACCTTCACATTAAAAATTTTAATTATAAAAATTTTGTATACTATTAAAATAATAAAATTAAATGTTTTCTAATAATGGATGGTTTTTGCAATTATATTTTTCACAGGGGGTCCGTGACTTCTTAAAAAATTTTAAAAGGGGTCCATTATACCAAAAAGGTTAAGAAACACTGCTCTAGACTGACTATTTATATTATAAATGTATTCAAATTAAACATTTCCAAGGGTATAATTTTTTTATTTTATTTAGGGATGCCCAACCCGTGGCCTGCGAGAAGCACAATGAATTTTTTTTAAAGAAGAAAGTGTTGAAATTTGGAGTCTCATATTTGAGTCATCACTTTTTGATGCGATCAATTTGCACAGATTCCATTGTAAATCTATGTTGTTTCTCGATCGCTTTTTCAATGGTTATTGCTACGAAAGTCCACATGGTTTTTAAAATCCCCAAACATTTATTATGATATTACTGCTCTAGAGCTCATTGCACACTTCATTGATCACTTTTTGACGTGCTTTATTTGTGTCGATTTTCTTGTAAATCAAAACTATTATTTTTTCTTTTTTAACCCCTTCCTTCTCGCTCCCGTGAAAACGATGAGCTGGAGTGTTCAGTAGTAATGCGCCAATAAGAATAAAACTAATTCATTTCTTTTGCCTGTAAAACATTTTATTTCTCATTTTACACACCATATAGCAGTACCAGAATATTTTTAAGGTAATTGTAAATAGTCAGTTTATTTTAAACTAGATACTAGCACTAATCAAATACGTGTATTTGGCAAAATAGACACTTCTATTACCGTTTTCTTGCTGATTGTTAAGGGGTTAAAGGCATTTATTGCTAGCTTTTCTACGTGATTTTGATAATACCAACACCCAAGTTACCCATCGCCCATTTAAATAATACCTTATATGCTTTTTTCAATAAATAGTCCAAAATAATGAAAAATAGTAGTTTTGTGTAAGTAATTTGGTGTCAAATGTTACACAATGAAAGTGTAATGAAATGAATGTGTTTTTAGCCGACACTGGTGGCACTATAGTGCTGGTGGGTCAAGACGGAGTACAACAACCACCCATTCACTTTCCTAAAGGAGGTCATCTTTTATCTTTCCTATCATGTTTAGAGAATGGTCTCTTACCTCATGGTCAAATGGATCCTCCCCTTTGGTCACAACACGGAAGAGGTAATGCCCCTAAGAGTTATTCTTATTAATGTCATGAAGAGATATTTTTCTAATTCTCTATATATTACCTAGATATAAATTGCTTTAATTATCAGAAGATGTCAAGATCAGTTGTGTTTGAAATAAATACAGCGGTAAGTCCCATATCCAGATTCGTCCAGACTTCAACAAGTCCAGAAAATAGATTTTTCCGAATAATAGGCCTTTAAGATCGACAAAAATCAAAACATCCTTATTCAATAAAAAAATAACAAAAAGACGATAATTAACTTCAATTGCAATCAACAACAAATTTATCCACGTGGTTGCGCTATTTTTGCAACAAATTTCCCCATAGTTTTTTGAAGCGCGATATTTTAATGTGCCATTTGAACATATCGCGAATTCCGAATCACACATTTCTATTAGTAATCATTTCTGGATTAGCGACGACTCCAAAGTGAATCCGCATGGTTTGGAAGATTGTATTTCGATACTCTTTAATGTGGATTTTCACTTAGTTTTTAAAATTTCAATGATTTAATATGATATTATTTCGTTTGGCAAACTTCGAATCACGCATTTAACACTCAATCATTGATGATTCACCTTCAATTCCTCGTGCATTTACAATCGCATTTTTATGAATTATTTCTAGAGATTTTCATAGTTTTTTAATGATACGTTATCATAAACGAGAAATTTAGAATCGCGCAATTGTAGAACTACCTTTTGATGCTCTCAATTTTTGATGATTTTATTGTCCACCTGGTTTTGTCTATCGCATTTTCCACAGAGTGGAAAATGCGATAGACAAAATATAGTTTTCCATAGTTTTTAAAATTTTGATTTCATTTTTTAATAAAATATCATTACGATCTGCAAATTCCAAATCGCGATTTTGAATAATTTAATAACCCGCTTTAGTCTTGACTATTTCATCTCGAATTCGCAATTTTTTCAAAAAGGGAAGCTTTTGAGCAATCAGAAATAGACTGCGTGATTCGTCGTGGTAATAATCCTTTTATGCAAGGCGTGAGAAAAGAGTACACAATTTTTTTTGCGCTGTAGTGAAATGCCGAATTTCGTTTACGTGATATGCAGTTTTATTTCCAATTGTAATGGAAATCTGGTTGAAAGCAAGCAAAAATCAGTAAAAATCATAAAAAAACGGAGAAGTGGAGGATTCTCATCCCTGCATACTATTTTTTAACTAATCGATAACGTAAAAGAATATATATATATTTTTTAAAAGGAAAAACAATTTTTTTGTTTATTTTGACTGTTAGAAGTGTCCACAAAAAAGACTTTCCGTCAACAGATGGCCGGATATGGGATTCTCTACTGTATTATAGAAGATTTGTTTAAGAAAATTGTCTTTCCCTGTAAACTTTAAAAAATATTAGAAAAGTACAGCTTAAATTATTACTATAAAAACTGTAATAATTTTTACGGTGTGTTGGTTAAGCTCTGCAATGCATCAAAATTTGCTTACCTCATGTTTTTCAATGGACATAAAGTGGGTAGCAAGAAAATTTCTTTACAATTTTGTCAACAGACCAAATACTTGCAAGGTTAAAAAACTCATGCATACCTGCAAAGTCTCCTGTTTTTTAACGAATACTCCCGTATTTTATTACTATGTCCTGTTTACCTGTATTTTCTCAAATTTCTCCATATTTTGTAAAGAAATTTTAACAAAACTTTTTCTATCTGCTAATGGCAAATATACCTCTCTTATTACTCAACAGATAGCTCTATTGCAAGTTCACTGCAGTTCATGTGCTGCCACGCCGACCAAACCGTATATAGTGAGAAGGCTGCCTTTTTTAGCGATCGTCGTTAAGACATAAATATATTTCTGTTTTCAGAATCATTTACTGTGAAGAAAGTGAGCTGTATAAAACTGAACAGTTCAGAAATATATCTTATGCATTCCGCATAGTGCTAGATAATTTTCTGTAAAGTTAAAAACGAATTTCGCTCATTACTTTCTGATGAAAAGTAATTTCGCTGGTAACTGTTTATGAAGGGTACTTTGATTAAAAAAAAATTCCTATCCAAATCAGCTACTTATATTTGATATATGAATGTGTAAAAATTCTGTGAAATAAAACTAATTACTCAGAATTATGAAATTTATTTTGATGTTGAGTGCTTATAGTATAAGTAATTATGAATAATGGTTTTAAAAAAATCTTTTCTAGATTAAGATTTATTTACATATTTTTTACTTTGCTAAATGTAAGGTCTTATATTACTTCCATTTTTTTTAATTTCCTTTTTACTTGCATGATGTATCAAAACTGAACATGTTCCCCCAAAGTATGTTGCTAGTAAAATCTCCATTATTTTGTTTCTCTATGTATACCATTATCAGTTCTTTCTCTTTGGATAATATTATAAATTTTAAACTGAAAATATTTTTGATTACATCACCACAGTGTTTTTTGTTTCTTCAGGTAAAGTCTTTCCTAAATTGAAAAGGAGGGGTCGAGGATCCATAAGAAGGCACTCTAAAGGTGGTGGTGAAAGTATAAATGAAGAGGATGTTGAAGCCACTGATTATGTGTTTAGGATAATAACATCTCTAAAACCAGACTCCATTTGTAAGCACCCAATTTTCAAATACAGAATACTTTTGATATCTCGAAAAAAAATTTATGTCAAAAAAAAAAAATTTCCCTTGGCATTACACATTCATCTAATGTTAATTTAAATTCCTATGTTGAAGAGTTTCCTCTCAAAACCTTGTTAAATCGAAATCGGCTTGTTTCACTCATTTAAAGATGCATAATTTATTTTTTAATATTAGAATGTAAATCACCAAGTAAATATTGTATTTTTACCTATTAAAAAATATCCCTGATTATCACGTGGGCATTGTTGGCTGAAAGAGGAACGGTGGGTGCTTGTCCCCCCTTACATAATAATTAGGAATTCTTTAAAGTCTCCCTCAATATTTCAGACAAATAAAAAAAAATCATGAATTATCATCTCATTTAACTAATGAAGAAAGATGAGGTAAAATGAAGAAGGAAATTAATCTTTTTGCAGATGCTTAGCATATTGAAGAATTATTATTTTATATGTGAAATTTAGAGAACTAATGTGAATATGTACTTTAATTTAGACCTCAAACAGATACCAGCGACACCCATACTTTATGATAATAGTTAATCTTGTTTTCTTCCAAAATTTTCCAATAAAATTTAATAAGAGACAGGAAATAAAAATCTACGTTTTGACTCTTTTATACATTTTCTTATTACATTACAAGGGGTTGAAGGGTGGGTTCTTAATGCCCAGCAGCAGAGGATATTATTTCTCAGTAAGAACTGTGATGCTGCGTCAAAAGGATACGTTAAAATTTCCCAAAAAAGTTTTAAGAAAATTCTTTATTAAAAATAAGTATTGAAGCAATTACAGAAAACTATATTTGTGAAAACACTCTTTCAATACTTGTATCTCGCTTTTTATTTGATGAGTGCCTCTCTCTTTCTTTTATGTGATAGCTCAAGAGATGTTAGATCCTAAGACTACTCGAGGCTCTTCACCTTGGCAGCCGAAAGAGGCGACAACAACCCCGAAAAATAATGGCACCCCCACTCTTAAGCACTACTCTTCCTCCTCATCCACATCCAGCTCTAAGTCACTGGTTGAAGACATCAGTATTGATCTGGGAAAGATTGACAACAAGGATGATGGTCAGCCCACTGGGTAATTCTCATTCTGGATGATAATAAATGTATACATACATGGCATAAAAAACTTCAACTAATCTTTTTATGTTATTCCTTTTCGGTAAATCTTTTTCGTAATTTATTATTCTAAACGAGATGCTCTTTCTCACCCTTAAATATTTCCCATCCTGTCTTTTAATCTATTTTTAGTTCAAGCATGCATTAACTAGCATTTTAACGTTTATCCCTGTAATTGAACATGAGAAGGCTAAATTTCCCCTCTATCTATTTAACAGACCAAATTTATTTTTTATTTTATAACCGTCTTTAAACAACCGATCCAAATTTGGGTTTACAACTACTAATGTTCAACTCCGTAGCCCTGTAATTCTGAACCCAATCTAAAAGACAAGGGAACTCCTGAATCAAGTATTGGGAGAAATTTGCCTTCATGGAGGACTTTTTGATGGAACCAACCTGCATTTGCGTTACATGGAGAGGACGATCACGAGAACCTCCCACACTTAGCCTTACGGCAAGGGCACTCTAACTCATGATCCATCAACCACTGAGGATATTTCACATAAGCACTGTGGTCTGTGCAAGCTGGATGCAGAATTTATGTCGACCAGCCATCTCTGGGATTCAAAACCGGTTCACCACATTGGTAGGCAAACGCTCTATCCCCTGAGCCATAGCGGCTCTTAACAGACCAATTGTTATGATTAAGATTTCCCTTATTCCCTAAAACGAAACATTTTATGGATTTATGTTGCAAAATTTTCCCTAACTTTTATTGAGTAGCACTCAGATTTTGTGTCACTTTGATATTCATTTTCTAATTATGATGAGTAAATAAAATTAATTTGCTCTTTTTAAAATCCTGTGCCTGTTTGTATTGCTCGTACGACTGCCACCATTAGATATACAAATATTTTTTTCATTTTGGTCACAGTTTTTATGTTAAGGGTGTTTTTTGTACTATTTATATCATCAAATCTATTCGAAAAGTACCAATGTGGTAGCAATATGCATATAAGTTCACATAAAATTTTACTATTTGTGATTTTTAAACCTTTCTCTTAATCAAATTGTATGATACAAATGTACTATTTTATTCATTATTGTGTTGGGCTGATTTTTGCTTTATACTACACTTCAACATCTTTTTTCCTTCAGTAAATTAAAAAGCCTTAACAAAATAAATTTTAGACCTTAAACTTAGTAGTATCAAGAGCACAAATAGAGTTTAAAAATTAGAATTAATGAAATTTTAAAGAGAAAAATGAAAAGAAGGATGGAATGCATAAAAATATTTGTTACTGTTTTTCAATATCTAAGAACTATTCTTTATTTATTAAAATTAGTTGTTCATAGAATATAACTTTTAAGAAGAGAAATAATACCTTTAAAAATATGTTTTTTATGTCAGATATTATGTCATGAATATATTTGCCCCAATTAAAGTGCAATTGTCTTCTTTTCATTAACAGGCAATCAATACAAATTCTTTGTGATAGTATGAAAAAGCAAATTATTTCTCGAGCTTTCTATGGCTGTAAGTATAAGTGATTTTCTACTTTAAAGGAATATTGCTGATGGCCATAAATAACATAATGTAAATTTAATTATGTTTCTAACCAAAGATTCTTAAAAACTGCTAAAATTTGAAATACTTATATAGTTTAGTAGGTTAATATGCTTTGTGACATTTAAAAAAAGCATTCAAATTTTTGATGAATTATTTTTGAAATAAAATATTGTTTCATTCTGCCAAATCATTATATATGGTGTTTGTAATTGGAAAAAGACATTTTATAAATTTTTTTGATGTTTCTATACGTGTGAAAGATGATTTTCTAAAATTCACTAAGTAACTAACATATTTTTCCTCTAAGTTCTCAATCAATATTTTGAAGTTGCATAATGCTTGATGATATGTAAATATTTTTACTTGGCAACAAGAAGAGTTATTATGTCACATGAACTCAATTGGGGAAATAATAGATGCAATGCTGAAATATAAAAAAATATTTTGCATGAAATTAAAAAACAAAAAATGTGGACGTTGACTGACTTGCCACAAAATAAGTTATAGAAATAATTTTATGTAATTTGAAATACTTATTACTTATTTACAAGCTTTTCTGTCCATTCAATAATCTTCTGATTCTTACACTTATTCATTCGTTATATTAAATTATTACTATTATCATAATGAAAGATCATCATGGACACAAATAACAATAGCATCATACTATGAAAAATGTTTCTCATTCAAGTTGCTGTCTTAATAATTTTACAGAAATGTAGTTTAATTTATTTATAGTTTATTAGATTTGTTTTTCATTTGTTATACTATTTATTGCAGTTTAAATACTCAGTGTTCTTACACATTTCTAGTTTGTTTCATCACCTTTTGAATTTGTTTTCATGATGCGTTCAAAGACCCTTTTAAGGATCAATACCTTTTATTACATGTTAATTTCTGTGAGTCATAACTATACTAAAATTCAGTGTTTCCTCAGTGTTGTGTGTTTAGTGGAAAATGTATTTTTGTGGATTGTGTTTGGCTTTCAATATAGCTGAAGTAATATATTTCTTTTCTTGTAACAAAATGGCACACCAAATACTACTACTTTGTTATTGAATTTCAGGGGTCTGTCCAGGGTAAATTTACTACCTTTTAGCGGTACCTATACAAATTTAACTTTAGGAAAAACGGTAGTTTCACAAAATATTTTTAAAAAAGCAAGCTCTCATGCAAACCCCATTCTTGTTGCAATCTATGGAAAAGAGGAGCTTTTCTGCTAGCTTTCTTACAGAAAGGTAACACATGTTTGGTCAGATAGTGCAATGTGGTAAGCCGAAGCGGTCGCTTACATCATATCAAAGCAAGCTTCTTTTTTTTTTGCTGAGTTTTTTTTAATGAAAAAACAAGGCTCTCCCTCAATGAACTTTACGGGAAGTCAAAATTCGAACCTTATTCTAAACATTCGAACATTATCTTAAACACTATTGTAAATTTATTCAAACAGGCCTTTATTTTTTATGAAACATTATTTTCTCTGAGAGACTTTCTTCTGTATGACCTATAGGTGAAAATGTTCTCATAATGAAAATAACTTTTAGTGCTAGTACTGTTAAATTCATGGTTTTATTAAATTTAAGTTGAATTTTAACTATCGACTATGTTTTATAGATTTTTGAATTTGGATACAATTTTAAGCCCAAACTTTTAAAATATCAAAATTGTTTTTGAATATATGAGGAAAAATATAAAGAAATTTACCAGTCATAAATGATTTTTATTTGTAGTGACAATTTTTGAAAATTCTCTCTTACCCTACCATATTTTTGTGTTTATTTTTTAATAAAATTTTTTATTTACACAAATTGTGCCTAAATTTTCACGAAATAGGTACCTCTCATTAAAACCTAGACAGACCTCTGAATTTAATTATGTAATAGGTGGAGCTTTGTGTAATAAGAATTTTATAAACCCTGTTAGTGCATTTAGATTCTTCTTTCTTTCTAAAACTTCTTATAATGTATGTACTCTACTCACATAATATTTTTTTTGACAGGGCTAGCTCACTGCCGACATTTAAGAACTGTGAGAACACACTTAGCTGGTCTGGTCAATTCCAATATCATCTCTGAAATGGACCCCACTGATGCATCCTGTGGGCTAACCGCAGATATATGGATCCGTATGCACGAGGAAACAAGAATCTGTGATAAGAACGAAGTGTACAGGCTTACGTATTTTGGCGGTGTTGATCCTACAATCAGAAGAGAGGTGAATCACCATTTTTTTTAATAGTTAATAAAAATCCTCCATGAAATATTTTTTTTAAAAAAGTATTATTTTGTTTCTTATTTTCCAAATATGTATGGATCCTTTATAGTCTAAAGGATTGTAACTTATTGGAATTCGGGTGTGGTTCATCATTACTATTAAGAGATCGATGAACATTTGGTTAAGCTAAACTATGTACAGAGCACAAAATAATTTCAATATCACCCTGAATAACATGCATTCTCATGATCGTATTTTCACATAATAAGTGTCAATCTTAATAGTTTCTGGATGCGACTTCAAATCTGCTAGTTAATTACTGCTGACTTATAATTAAGTTACAAAATTGGAAACAAAAACGTAATTTCTCTGAATAAACATATATTTTCATAAAATGTTTGATGCTACAAACTTGTTTTTTTATAATATAATGCATAGTTCATAGAAATTTTTAGATGGCTTAAAAAAAACCAGTTAATTTTAAAAGTGGAAATAATATTTAGGAATTTAAAATAAGATTATCTTTTACTTTCCAAAAAAAATAAGAAATTGAGTTTTATATGTTTTAGAACAAATTTTAAAACAAACTTTAATAAATGTACAGTTATAAAAAAATTTAATACATGAACAATGTATGTGCATACATACGTGTAAACACATGTATTTAAATGTACACATGTATTTAAATATGCACATGTATTTATACATTACATGTAGTAATATACATGTATACGTTGTGTGTACATACGTACATGGTCTGTACATATAACCATTTTTTGTACATTCCAATGTTATATGTGCATATGTATTACCAAAGTATATAGATATATATGTACATGCATACGTACATATGTTGCGTATACAAACCATATGTCTATGTACATGTAAAGGTACATGCATGCATTATATTTATGCAACTATATGTACATATAGTGTACAGATAGTGTAACTATAAACAGCATTTTTAAATATTGTATATAATACATGCAATGTGTATACATACGTACATATATACATTATCACATACGTTCATAGATTTATTCTCTGTGTATACAAACATACAAAACATTGCATTTGCATGCAAACTAACAAACTTACTTACGTGTATCATGTATGCATAATTATGTGTGTGCTAAGCATATGAGCAAATGCATACTACTATCTGCTGGCTGTTCCAAAAACATTTTGGGAAAAAATGTGATTGTAATTATTTATAGTTTTTCTTATCCAGGTATGGCCCTATCTGTTAGGCCACTATGATTTTGGCAGTACTGAGAGTGAGCGAGAACAGCACAATGTCACCCTGCAAACTACATATGAGACAACCATGTCTGAATGGTTAGCAGTGGAAGCGATTGTCCGGCAAAGAGATAAGGAGCAAATGGCTGCTAATCTTGCCAAACTCTCATCTGAAAGTACCAATAGTGAAATACCTTTAGTTGGTGAGTGTGTGGAACCAATTAATTATTTTACTATCACCAATTTAAAATTTCATGGAAAGATACTCATCATATTCAGGGTTTAATTTGCATAGAAACTCAGCTCTGTACTTATTTTGTTTTTCGGTGAATTGTTGCATGTTTCACAGAACCTCTAATATTTTATTCTATATCTGTCGTTGAAAAGCCGACCTAATTTTGGGTTTACGACTACTAATGTTCAACTCCATAACTTTGTTATTTTGAACCAATCCAGAAGACAAGGAAACTCTTGGATCAGTACCCCCAGAGGTATGATTTGTTTTGGGAACATGGAGGACTTTACCACTCGACAGATTTAATGTGCATCAGTCGCCATTTATTACAAGAAGAGTCTTCGGTCGACGGGAATCATACCCACAACCTCTTGGACATGGGCCCAGTGCCCTACCAACCGGGCTATCCCGACCCAGAACCTCTAATGTGTAAAAATTTATAGAAAAAGCACATTATTTTTTTGTATGTAATTTAATTTTTCACTGAATTCTGTTTAATTTATGTAAATTATCTCCTGTCATATATATTGTTTAAATTGCTTTATGTTGATTTCAGATTATTTATGTATGATATGAAGAATATTAACATTTTTGAAAACGTTTACACACTAGGTTTGAAATTTACCTTTTTTTGCTAAATTTATATCAAGCTTCAGTTTGTTTAAGAAAGATATCTCTCTGAGTCGCGTAACAGTGCATGAAAGTCCAATGGCCCATGCAGTTTTTTGTCCTTGGGCTCTGGGGTGCAAGAAGCAGATGTTCTGGTTGGGGGATTAGCCAATGCAGAACCCCTAATGTTTAGTCCCCAAGCATGCTTGGTACTTATTTTATCTTATCAACTCACTGAAAGACTGAATTAACCTTCCCTAGTCCGAGGACAGAACCCGGGACCTGTGGCATGGAATCGCACAACGCTAACACTCAGCCACAGAGCCTCAAGTAAGGCATAGGCTATTAATTATCTTGTGTTTTTCATTGATGTTAATGTTGCACATCTAGCAGTAGGTCTGTTTGTTTTGTATCATTATTATGTAATTAATGACACTATGGTTATTATGTAGCATAAATAGCATGTTATATGGATTAAACCCTAGGGGTTCCACGTTCGGTTGACCACCCAACCGGAACATCTGCTTCTGCACTCCAGAGCCCAAAGACTAGAAAACTGAGATGGGCACAGTAGGCCTTGGCCCTCAATGGGCTGTTGCATCACTGAGCTTAGTTTTTAAAAGCATATAAGATAGAATAATAAAAGCAAGACATACTTTCAGCCTTGGTATGCAAAAAATTTTGCTTTTAACTAATTAAAAATAATGACACATTAAAATTTCTGGTGTGCGAAAATGTTGTTTTTATCTCATTAAAAAAATAATAACGCATAAAAATTATAACTGTTTTGCAGCGAGACACATACTTTCAGCCCTGTTCTTATTTTAGCTCCACATTTTCTTTCAGGTCCAAAAGATTCAAATTTAAGTAATGATGTGTTTGAAGACTTCAGTAGTAGTGCTGAATACTATGATAATCCTGAAGATGATATACCAGAAGTGCCTGAAGAAGATAGTGATGAAAATCAAACTAAAGATAAAGTTAGTAAAAATTACCTACTGTTATAAGCAATTATTTAAAATCAATTTTCTAGTGTTATTCCAGTTGAATAAATACAACATCAGATTTAAAATCTGAATTTTTCTTTTATCATTCTTCTATATATAATATTCTCTGTAAATAAACATACATAATATACTTCATATATAACTTTATTTTTAGCACTACATATAATAACATCTTCTACATGGTGCGAGCTTTATTTAAAGGTGCTTAATTTCTATATTAGTTTTTTTAAAAGCCCTACAAGGTGCTTTTTCATAGGGTGTTTTTAAAAAGTGCGTAATTTTTCCTTTTCGAAAATGAGATTTTTTTTTCTTTGTGATTTAGATTTTAGCCACGTATTATGCAAAAGCGTGCTTTTCTCAATGTTTTCACTATTCATTCAACAGTCTATTTCAGCGTACCGTCGGTCCATAATGATGAAAGCGCCAATCATTTTACATGTTTGATGAAATACTTGCGAGTCCGCATGTGCGTCCACTGGGCTGGGTTCGGTGAGATTATTGCACTCTCATGTGCAACTCTGTTGCATTTTGCGAGATATTCTCAATTTCAGGCTTCATTTTCCACCCTCTGATATCGAACCGAAAAATCTCTTGATTATTTTATAATGGCTAATATAATCAAGAAAATAGTTCTTTGTCAAAAACTAGTTATTTTATCATCATAAGTCTTTGAAAATTATTTTACATTTTATTAATGTAATAAGTGCTTAAAAATATTTTTGAGTGCTTAGAAAGTACTTAAAAGGTGCTTATTGTTTGTTGAAAGATTTGGCTATGCACCCTATTCTAGATACCATTCTTCACTCTAAGTTTACACCTAATATCACCACTCAAACATCTCAGTATATTTTGCATCTACATGTTCTATGAAAAAATGAAAAGTTATTCCAAATGTCTTGATCCTAATAACTCTTACTCAATAATCAAATAGTTTAAAATTTTTATTTCTAATCTATCTTAGGCAATACTATCTTTACGCATGGGCACTCAGGGGGCCCTTGAGAGTTTTACTTTTCATAAATTGTGTTAAAAAAAATTAAGGATAAACAACATCGCCTTATATATTTGATAAAAAAAATATATATTCTGTTGTATAAAGTGGGCTTTTTATTTTTACCAATAGTGATTGATTATCATAACACATGCCAATAATTTAAATAGTTTATCACCAGGAAAACTTCAGCAGGAATCTATTTTTCTACATTGCAATGAAGTTTTAAGGTACTCAACTCTCACTTCCTGCTAATGTTGACACATCATTGTGTTCCTGAAAAAATATCTGTGTAAAATAAATTAATGTGAGTAAGTTTTATGTTAAGTCATAATGTCTTTAAAAATGCTTGACCAATACCAACCCGGTTTAGTATTTACACTTAGTTAAATAAAGTAATAATCGAAAGAGTTAAGAATTACACATCACTATGGGACAACAACTTTTAAACTGGTTATGCCTGATGTGCACTGAAGGATGTTTTAATAACTGCTAAGTTTGACGAAATAATTCATACCTTTTGATTTTTTTATAATTTGTTATACCTTTATACTTTTTATTTTAATTAGCTTCCATGGTTTTCGAAGTTATTTTAGTATTCGAAGATTGCAGCAGATTACTATCTTAATTTGTTTATGCATAGTTTAAAAGTGCTTATTTTATATACATTGATTTTTTGGTGTAATCAAAATATGTTTAAATTTGTTAAAATTATTGCATAACTTAAAAATGCTTTATTTTGTGTATTTATGTTATTTTTTAGTTCGATTTTAAACAGTATGACATGTTATAACATTTATTAGCCTGAGGGCCCTGATCTTAGAAAATGACTCATATAAGTGCACATTTTCACAACTATTTATTAATATTTCAGAAAAAAGATGTGGCAACAGAAGATGCTGAAGTGGCAGCAACGGAAGAAGAGGTTCTGCAGAGTGCAAATGTTTCTGAACTCACAAATGAAGAGAAACAAAACTCAAGACGCACTCTTTTGCGTCACATGCAAGGTATATTTCTATTTATATTAGTAACTTTTATGTGGCGGCTTACAAAAAATGCATCTTAATCAATTTTTTATTTTTTTATATCATCTCTTTGCACTACAAATTTGCCGATATAAATAATTGAACCAAAATAAGTTCTGAAATGCAATTTACTCTTACGATATACTAGCTGAATGGGGGGGAGGAATAATCAATAAATCAGTACTAAACAACACTGCAAATCGTGCACGAAACGGTAAAACAAATACCGAAAAAAAGCAATGAAGCTAAAATAATTCCAATGTGTTTTTTTATTTGTTATTATTTTTTAACTTTCTCAGTGGCTTTACATTATTAGATTAGGCAAAATAATTACTTAGTCACCCATCTCATCAAAATAAAGATTGTCTATATTTGGTATCGTCTGGCATAATAACTGTTGCTCTAAGCGAGTCATGATATTTCAAATTTGCCACAATCAAGCTACTTACTCCTATATTTATGTCTTTGATAGGCCTAAAAACCTATTATCTATCATAAATATGTAATGATGCTACTGTAAAAAGCACCAAATTTACTCATAAAATACTTTGTACCTATACAAGAGTATATTTGGTATATATTAAAACTGCATTAATTTTCATAATGCCAATGGTGTTTACTACCAAAATTAAACAAAATGAAATTAAACTGCTGAAAATAAACACCATTGGTGTCAATAATAGTATGGCGAACATTTTCTCTATTAGTTTTGCTTTCTAATCCATAGCTTTTTTTTAGTTCAATTAGTACCTATTACCAAAATTGATTAAACATCATTGATGTCAATAAAAGTCTACACACGCTGTTAAACAAATGAGTGCCATTTTTCTATTAATTTTTCCTATTAGTTCGTATCTTATTATTTAACTTCAATTAGTAACTATTACCGAAATTAATTATCATTGTCATCAATATTAATATTGGCTCTTCTTTACGTTTATGCTTAATGAATTAATACCATTTCTTCATTAATTTTAAATTTCACCTTATTTTTCAGAATTCAACTTATTTTTTTAATATAGTTACTGTTAATTTTAAATTATTTAGTTTTATAGTAACATATTTTAAAAGTATAAACTATAAACAAAATAAATGTGTAGTTTTAGGTAATCTTAGAAATGCTAATTTTGTCACATAGTCCACCTATGCTACACCAATCACTTTGATCAGTCAGATAACCTAGTGGAACTAACCCGCATTTGCGTTTTCATGGAGAGGAAAACCTCCCATGGTTAACCTGATGGCAAAGGGACTCTAACCTGTGATCCGTCTGCCACTGAGGACATTTTACGTCACTGTGATCAGTGCAAGCCGGGTGAAAAATTCTTATCGACCTGCCATCACTGGAATTCAAACTCTGTTCATTTCATTGGAAGGCAAACGCTCGATCCCTTGATCCACTACGGCTTATAGCAATATTGCAATAAGCTTTAGTGTGCTATCTATTTTTTCCCAATTTAGCTGCAAAAAGCCAAAGCATTATCATTTAAATCCACCTGCTGATGCAATAAGTCTTATTGTGCTATCTATTTTTTTCCCTTAATTTAGCTGTAGAAAGCCAAAGCATTATCATTACAAATCCATCTGTTGAATTGGGTCAATCTCCAGTCTCACCTTGTCAGCAACCTTCTTGTGAACCCTCAGTCAGTGAAGTCAAGGAAGTTGTTCCAGAAGAAGCTATGACTCCGGGGACCATTGACATAAATCAGAATGTGCCAGACCTCCCAAGTAAGTCCTCTGAAGAAGTCAATCCTAGTCAAAGCGACATCCCCCAAGAAACAGAGGCAGCAGTTCAATTGCAAGCAGATCCTCACTCAAGTTGCATCTCACCAGCTTCTTCTGGCGGGGGAGTTTATTCAGTAGGTTTCTCTCTCTCTTCTGTGTTTTTCAATCGGTTTATCATATTGAATGTGAGTTATTTCAAATGTTTTCAATGCTTTATTATTTTTTAAAAGTAACAATAAAGCATTGAAAACATTTGAAATTGTAATTTTAATAGGTAATTTTAAATTTACAATTTCAAATTTATAGTAATTGTAATTTTAATAGGTTTGGGAGATATTTGTATTACTTCTTTTTTGTAACAGACCTCACAGCTTTTTTCTTTAAATTGTTCAAAAATGCATACTTGGTATCCTAAAATTACCAACAGTTTGAGAATTCGTTTAAATGCAAACAGACGTTTAAATGCAAACAGAAGATGATAGAAACCTTGTGGTTTTCTAGATTCCGTTTAGGAAATGGATTATGTTATTTGTTCATTCTCTTAAACTTAATAATTTTTAAATTTTATTATAATAATTTTTATTAATCTTTAAAAATAACTGTAATAGGTTTGAGAGATATTTGTATTACACTACTTTTTCTAACAGACCTCACAGATCTCTTTTTCTTTAATTGTTCTAAAATGCATACTTGTTATCCTAAAATTACTAACAACAATAGAATTTGTTTAAATACAAACCGAAGGTGATAGAAACGGTGTGGTTTTCTAGATTCCGTTTAGGAAATTTATTCTGTTACATATTCATTCTCACTAACTTATTATTTTTTAAATTTTCTATTATAATAATTTTTATTGATTTTTAAAAGTAATTTTAATAGGTTTGGGAGATATTTGTATTACTTTTTTTTTAACCGACCTCACAGATCTCTTTTTGAACAGATTTTTTTTTAAATAATACAAAATACTAGAAGATAGAGTATTGTTCTTTGTTTTATTGTTTTTGTACTTTTGTACCATTTGTTTTTAAACTATTATTTTTTTGTTTCTTAAATATTATTTGATTTAAAAAGAATTCTATGTTGAAGGATATAATTTCTGGAATTATTAGTGTATGCTTTGTATGTATAATATTTCAATCTTCATTTACATTAAAGACTTTTTTTCTGAAAGAAATGCACTTCTTAAACTTTTCATTTTTGGATACAGAATTTTTCACTGTATTGTTTCTGCAATGGTGAGAAATATTCATTTGTAATAATTGAGGCTTCAGAAGAGGATATCTTTTAAATATCCTATATAGCAAATAATAATTTGCGATGCCCTGAAAAATTATGAACCTTTTTGTTTTTTATTTTTTCAGAATGACCTTCTTGATTTGTTCTCTCTCAATTTGCATCGTATTGACAAAGATGTTCAAAGGTGTGATCGTAACTACTGGTATTTTACACCTGAAAATCTGGAGAAACTCAGAAATGTCATGTGCACGTAAGGGTCTTTTTTTTTCTCACTTCGCAATTTTTCAAAAGTAACTTCATATTCAGTTTTAAATACCTTTAAATTAGGTTTTGATTAAGCTATTATTTTATATTATTTACATTTGATATTTTTCATCTAAGGAAGCACCATTTGTTAAAATAAAATCTACACAATAGTCATGGTGCATAGCGGTTTTAAAGAATGCTTAAAGGGGCTTATTTTCGATTTTCGTTTTTTAAAAGCATTTAAAGGTGCTTTTTTATATGGTGTTTTTAAAAAGTGCTTAATTTTACCTTTTTAAAAATGAGATTTTTTTTCTTTACCATGTCGATTTTTGCCACGTATTATGTAAAAGTGTGCTTTTCATATTTGTTCTATTCAACGTTTCCACAATTCATTCAACCACAATCCATTTCGGTGTAACGTCGGTCCCTAGCGTATGTAAGCACCAAGCATTTTACATGTTTGATTAAATACTTGCAAATCCACATGAGCATCTACTGAGCTGGGTCCGGTGAGCTTATTGCACTCATGTGTAACTGTGCTGCATTTTCCAAGATATTCTCTATTTCAGGCCTCATTTTTCACCCTTTGATATCGAAATGAAAAATCTTTCGATCATTTTATAGTGACTAATGTAATCAAGAAAAGAGTTCCTTGTCAGAAATGAGTTATTTTATCATGATCAGGTAAAGTCTTCAAAAATTATTTTACATTTTGTTAATGTATATAGTGCTTAAAAAGTTTTTAAGTGCCTAAAAAGTACTTAAAAGGTGCTTATTTTTTGTTGAAAGATTCGGCTACACATCTTGAAAATCTTTTTAATTCATTTTTTACTATATTTTGCTTGTTTTGAGAAACGCATCATCTTTTCTGATTTTGATACAAAATTGCTAAATCTTATGGTTTTACTGTCTTTTCTTTATCATACATCCAGTTTGAACAAATTATTTTTCATTTTTCTTTTAGCAGAATCAGGTCTTCTAAAAAAAGTGAAAAACAATTAAAATCAACTCATTTCAAAATGTTTTAATAAAGCTTTAAAAATATGGAGCATGTTTATAGCATTATCTTTAATTTTGTCTGATGCTACCTGGGTTTTTAATTTAATTACTTTTATTTTTTAGATATGTTTGGGAACATCTTGAGATGGGTTATGTCCAAGGCATGTGTGACCTTGTGGCTCCTCTTTTGGTCATTTTTGATGATGGTAAGCTGAAATTCTAATAAGTTAGATGAATTCTTTATACTTTTTGATGGAATGTGTATTAAATTCAATTTCCTTAAATTTCCACAATGTTACTTAAAGTAATGTTTAAGTTAGAATTTAATGATAGAATTGAATTAGAATTTAATGTATTTTAATAAAGTAAAATTCATTACAAATCTTCAATTCGCAATTTTGATATACAGTCCAATCCAGTTTAAGCGAAACTCGAAATAGCGAAAATTTTCAACGTAACAAATATTATCCGAATCTCCACACAAACAATGGATTAAAAATACCGATATTATGATATTGGTCGTTCGATTTAACGAAGGTGAAACTAAGCAACAATTCTCATTTTCTCTCATAATCAAAACACTTTTCCATTTCCTCAAAAGTGCATAATGATCTCAAAATTCAAATATTTTTACCTCTTCAAAATGAAACGTTTCAGATATGAAAGGAGCGTGTCAAAAAAGACGAATCACATGGCTGGAACCACACTGAAAAGTGTGGTCACTTCCCTATTGAGACCCCAACCCCATGTCCTCATCGAATACCATGAAACCCCATGTCCTTCTAATGAAACCCCAACCCATTCATGTTTGAAGAAGTAAAAATAAATGTGGCTTTCCAAAAGAGTGATTCCCACTTCAGTTGTTTGAAAATGTGCTTAATATGGAGAAGTTTATAATTTCTACTGGTTAATCATTTCTACAGAAAAAAAAATTTTCAAACTACATAATTTCTAATACGTAATTGATTATAAATCCATTGTTCTTTTTAATTTAATTGTTTTTTTGAGCTTTTAAAATATTGATTTGATATTTTCTTCGTGCAGATTATAAATAGATAAAAACTGTAATTAAGTGCAATAATTTTTTTTTAATATTTATAAAAATTCCAATGTGACAAAATAATTGTGGTTTTTGTTGAAATTCGTAATATCGGTATAAGGTTTTTTCGTTATTGCTTCGGTCCCTAGGAATTCGCTAAACCGGGATTGCTTCGGTCCCTAGGAATTTGCTAAAACGGGATTCGACTGTATACATACAGTGTGCATAAAGAAACAACTCCCTGAATAGTTTTTGATCCAACAATCGAATCTTCAAATATTAGGATTCAATCTTAATGGTTCGAGGAGATGATATGAAATATATCAATTAATACAGACAATATTTTTAGTTACAAAATCATACGCAAAAATGTACTTTCTTCGAATAAACATGCGTTTTTTTAGATGGATTCAGAATTCTGACCCCCAAAATATAGGGAGTAGCCACAATCTTGGAAATATGGTCGTAATGGCATGGTCAGGAAAGTGGTCCAAAGTTTAGGTCCCTCAATGTTTACTTTTAACATATTTTGCCATATCTTAAGAGCTTTTTCAATGAATTTTTTAAAAAAATTGCACACAATTATAAAATTCGTTTATCCAATGATAATTCCATGCAAAAAATAACTTTTAGCAAATATTTATTATTTTATCTAATAACTGTTGAAAAAATTTTGAATTGTAAGGTATAAAATTTTTTACATTATTTATTATTTAAATGACGAAATGCAAAATTTTAGAAAAATCGATCGAATTGTTCCTAGGAGATCGAATTTTAAAAACATCACTTTTTAATAATAATGAATATCATTATGAATAAGTTATAAAATACATCAAATATGATAATGATATTGCACCTGTTGAATTCACTGTTTCAACAGTTCAATGATGGAGCATGTTCAACACATTTTGATTTTTATCATATAAATAAAACAGCTTTTGAAAGATTTTGATAATACATTGTCATTTGCAACAGAATGTCTGATGTAACTTTTCCATTTTTGTTTGGTATTTTGGCTTTGGGATATTACAATGTTGCATAATGTTATTACTCATTATTGAATATTTTCATTTTAGAAGTGTTGTCCTACAGTTGTTTTTGTGAGATCATGAAAAGAATGGTTGCTAACTTTCCCTACGGAGGTGCTATGGATGCTCATTTTGCAAACATGCGCTCCCTTATCCAAGTAAGTTTTTTTCTTCTTTTTTTTAAGCTATGTTTTGAAAAAACATAACTGTTGAATTTGTAAAATTTATCATTTGTTTTTTTTTTTAATATTGAACACCTTTGCTACATTTATCGTCTTCAATTGAAAGAAAAGGTTTTTAACTTTCAAAAAAAAAAAAATTTACTTATTAATTTTAAGCCATCCTTTTAAAAATTAATTCATTTAATTAATTTTTTTGGTGATGCATTTTAAATAACAGTACTTATCAGCTTTGTGAAATTCATGATAACTAGCCAATTATCATGAATTTATCGAAATTGATACAAATTTGCTTACGTTATATTTTTCTTAAATAAAGATTAACAAATTAATACACAACTAGTAATTAATAGAGAAACCTGGTCTAAATATATTTGTTTATTAACTCAATGATACCAAGCCCTCAATTTTTTTAAAGGCATTTAATTAAAAAAAATAGTTTTAAAATCCAAAATCACAAAAAAAAAATTTATAATATATAAAAAAAGATAAAATACTTATAAAAATTTAACCAGTTGAGAATAATCCTAACAAAGTAAATGTTTGTTGTAATAATTAGAATTAAACCTATAAACACAGATAATTTTACCAGTGTGTAATTATTATTTAAAACAATGAATAGTTTGTTTTTTTTCATATTGGAATCTGAATTAAAAGCCAGTGTTTTTGAGGGATAGCTGCTTACTTTTACAAAGATGGCACATTTGATCAAAGGGCAATCAGATCAGGCCCCCCTTCAAAAACTGCTTAGGGAGAACACTGTAATTGATAAATGTGTAGTAATATAAAATATCTGAAAAAGGCTAACTATTCTAATCGAATCTTCATTACTAGTCTATTACTGTTATTTTTTAAAATTTTATAATAATTATTACATTTTATATGTATAATACTCATGATCCATGGGAAACATTGTTTTCTCTTTCTCAGAAATGAGTATATTTTATGCATTTGTTTTTGTATTTATGGAGTGTATGTTCTTCTCACAGATACTGGATGCAGAGATGTTTGATTTGATGCATCAAAATGGAGATTACACCCATTTCTACTTCTGTTATAGATGGTTTCTATTAGACTTCAAACGAGGTAAAGGTCATTTTAATGATAACATTCTGTAATGTGGTACTTGCTTTTATATATATATACCCTCCAAATTATGAGGATTTTGAAAATAATTCTTTCTAGTGGTAGCGAACCAAAGTAGAAATTTTTAAAGCAAATGGATCTCTCATAAAACTTTTATCAGAACTTAAGAATCTAGCCATATGGCCTGCACTTTTATAAGTAATAGTGGACAAGTTACGCTAAAATTAATTTTTTTTAAATATTAAGACATTAATTTTGCTACCGTCTGAAAAGAAGATTTCTGAAACTACTGAAATTCCGTAGCAGTTGGAGGGTATGTATATATATATGTGTATATATATATATAGAGTGTGTATATATATAATATGTATATATATATATATGAAAGCTTCCGAAAATTCCATTAACTTTGAAGGGATTAAAGAAATGCTACTTTCGCTCAAAATGTTCTAGAATTATAAGTAGATAGACAATAAAAAGTAAGAGTCTAGCAGTGAATCATGCAATCAGTTTATTCATAGTCTTATAGCTAAGCAATAGATAAATAAAACAGTTATAGCAATCATAATGTCTAACAATTAATTAATGGTTTACTCATTTTTTATTTCAAAATCCAAAACCCAAAATTTTTAAAAGCAAAAATTCGTATTTTAAAATGCCTCTGCATTTGAATATTTTTTAATATTTGATTTTTTTTCCTTTACTATTCATTTAAAATGCTTATCAAAGGAGCATATTGTGATAAATGTGTTTTGTATATGTTTTTAATATATATGTATATGTATTTGTATATGTTTTTAAATGTAAACCTTGTAGTCCTAGTCTAGCAAAGTACTGTGTGAACTGTTATAAACTAATTTCTCTAGTAATATCAAATGAAATATTAGTTTATTAAATTGTGTTTTTTTTTCCTTCTAATAACTGTCATTTATTTTTTTAGAGCTTTTGTATGATGATGTTTTCAGCGTGTGGGAAACCATATGGGCTGCAAAGTATGTTGCCTCTAAGCACTTGGTGTTGTTCATTGCACTTGCCTTGGTTGAATATTACAGAGACATCATCTTGGAGAACAACATGGATTTTACAGACATCATCAAATTCTTTAATGGTATTGCAGAATAAGAACTAGAATCATAATCTGTATTATATATGACTTATCTGTAAATCGTTCATAATATGTTGCAATTTCGAAAGTTTATTCTTTCTCTTTTATTATCAAAATCTTTTTTCTTATTAAAAAATAGTTTATTTTAATCATATTGTTCTTTTTTATATCAGAAAATTCTTCTCTGTCTCAAGTTTTCATCTATTTGAAATTTGGCTGTCCATTGTCCAAAATGAACTTGAGTAGTGTGGACTCTTTTGAATTTTTAAATTTATTAAGTGTTTTTACTAAAATTTTCTGTTTTTATTTCGATGTATTTCTACATATTAATTTTTACCAAATAAAATTTGTCTATTAAATAAATTAATATTCGATGATGAATATTTTAAATACATTTTACCATGGTTCGTGAATTAAAGATAATATTCTAAAGCTTGTAAATTAACAATCTGATTAAAATCTAAAAATTTCTTAGTGATAATTTGGAATATTATTAGTTTGTTTCCTTGATGAACAGCATACTCTTTCATGTGATAGTTTTTGTTTATAAATTGTTTTTCAAAAAAAAATTTCTCCATCCAAATACAATAATGTGTTGCTTGTTCAGGGCCAGGACTGTTTTCCTGTTATGATGATGACTAACCACTATGCTTATTAAACATCAATTCACTAGTACAGTACAGGACCCGTTATCCGGAAATCAGAAAACCGGAAAACCAAAAAACCGGAACGAAATTCGATAAATTTTCCCGCCATTTTTTTAAAAAAAAAACATTTTTTCTCTTATGTCTTCTTTTTTCTCACATTTTTCTCTTTTTCTCTTTACCTTACCATTAGAAAAGGAAATAATCATTAGTGTATTACTTCATCGTTTTTTCTTCTTTTTAAGATTACTTTCAAGTATTTTTTTTTAGTTTGGTTTAACAATAAAAAAACGGCTTTTTGTAGCGATTCAGAAAACCGGAAAAATCAGTTATCCGGAATAGCGATTGTCCCAATCGTTCCGGATAATCGGTTCCCTACTGTATGTAAGACAAGCTAACTCAATTCAATCTTGAGGCACCTCTTGATAGATGACACTTGACATTGTCGATAGCCTTGCCCCGCATTGGTGACCTGTGGACGTGATATGAACTCACCCTCTTCCATGAGTGGTCCACATTGAACAGTTGACATGTTAATTATGATTGTGTCTCCTTCCTCCTTGCACTGTTGCTTCTCAGTCTTGTTTACACACAACCGTGAACTTAATACAGCTCTCACGACAAATGCTCAAGCCTCGGTGAACTTAATACAGCTCTCACCACAAGCACTCAAAATCCGGTGAACTTAATACAGCTCTCTTGGTTTTTCGCAAATACAGCAACTAGTGGCATCCGTTCATCGAATTCTATCTCTGATAAAATTCTGGTGGGGAGGTATTGTGGCGTAACTACAACTTTGATTATTAAACATCAATTCGCTAGTATAAAGGACATGCTAACTCAGTTCAATCTTAACGTACCTTTTGATAGATGACGTTGGACATTGACCTAGCCCCACAATGTAAATTGCGTGACAGATTTAATTAATATTTTTAAAGCAAAAAAAACTTATGTTACATTTATAGTGTTTATGCACCTTTTAAAGACTTTTAGATTATTCTAAAACTGATAAAGACTTTATTTGCAACTTCAATGAAAGTGTGCCTCAATAAATTTATTTTATTTTTAGAAATGGCTGAAAGACATGATGCTAAAGCAGTTTTGAAAATTGCCAGGGACTTGGTACAACAAATTCAGACATTAATTGACAACAAATGAAGAAGGAAATATGTACGACTGTATCGTGTGGTATGACTGTTGCACTAAGTTCTGCATGCATATCTATTATTAGTTTGTTTTGTCTTTCCCTTCTTTAAGATACTGTGTACCCAAATGAATTTGGTTACTGTATTAAATCCACTGTGCATCGCCACAGGCATAAATGAGAAGACCGTCTTGTGTATACAAATGTATATGTTTAAGCAGTAGATAGGTAATATGTATACATTATTTTTTAAAGATATCAACATTCACTTTCTATTTTTCATATAGTATTTTTGTGTATTACTTGAGTGAATGAATGTTATGCGATTGAAATACAAAAAATATCTGATATAATGTTGATGTACAAAATATGCCATAGTTCCATACATACTTTCCATTTTATTTTCATGAAAATGGAAGAATGTAGTTGTTTTTTCTTTCTGCTGTTGAATTCTATGTTTCCACTATGTTTTTTTTTTTTTTTTTTTTTTTTTTTTTTTTTTTTTTTGTCAAAACAAGTTATTTTGAAAAATAATCGCCTGTAATATTTTTTTGATTCTTTATGATGCTACAGAAGTTTATTCTACACACCATTATATTTGAGTCCAGTTTTGCATTTATTTTTTCAGGTAACTATAAGTATCAGTTTTGTTTTAAGTGAAGCAAAGGTTTAATGCATAAAAAGCTTCCAAAGTTTTAAAGTGATTTTTTGGTGCTGTTATGTTATGTTAGGGTTTAAATAGGGTCTTGATGGTACAGTCACTGAGCTTTTCAATCTTCGGTGGATTGAAACTCACTGAATTTCAGATCAATAGATACCAGTTAGTCTAAGAACTCAGTGTTTCCTGGATGTAATTCTGAGCTCGTTGTGCCATTATGCTTATGGCCTTGAAATTCTGAAGTATATACATCTCTAAACACCCAGATGCAGGAATGCTCCCCGTGGCAGAATCGTATCAACACGGCGACATTGTCGCAAAACATTACGGAAATCTTGCAAAAGGAGTTTTTGTTTGGGAAGTAAAAAATTTTGATTTTTTTTTTATCTGCAGAATTTTTGGAAAGATTTTTTTTTCAGCAGAAATTTTTTTCTTCCCTTTCCTGCAGAATTATTTTCAAAAAATGCCTTTCTCACTCATCAAAGATGGAAGAAACGCTCATGAATTTTTTTTTTTTTTTTTTTACTTTCTTTTGAGAGTAAAAAAAATTTTCCAATTACTGATTGATATTATAAAAAGTAATATCCAAATCGATAAAATTTTTAAAAAAAGTTAACTACACAAATTTTTTTTAGAACAGGAGAATATTGCCAATAAAATCGGAATATGCATTTTTAATATGTATATTAAGAAAAAATTCTTGCATTTATAATTTTAAAAAATTATATACTGTTCTGTTCTATGCATAGGGTTTATTTATTTATTTGTAAACAGGAAGCGCTTCTGTTGCTTGAAATTAGTAATATATATTTTCTGCTATTAAGAATGTCTTTCAGAAAGGTATTAGTACTAGAGAAAATTGTCGCAGAAAGCTCAAAAAAATTCTGCCACAGGTGGAATGCTTTACTATAGAATTTAAAGAAAGCAACATTACAGTGGTTAAGGCACTAAGACCTAAGATGTCATGGTGAAGGACTGGGATGGGTGGCGGCTTGAAGCTCACACAAGCTCAGATCAATTTATTCCAGTTAGTCTGGGAAGTAAAGGTGGCCGGTGCACAATGCTGAGCACATTGTCTTGAAATTCTGACGCTCTTTAAATTCTTAATTCCATGATCTCTTGGATGTAGGTATCTTTTGCTTTAAGAATTCAAAGAAAACAAAAATATATTATAAGGAAAATGTACCATTGTTTTAAAATTGAGGCAATTTTTTTTTCCTTTTGTTTTAGTATATGTATTGGTCAAAATTGCCAAAGTTATAAAGCATGTTAAAAAAAAAGACATAGGTTAGATATTTAACTTTTTTTGCTTACCTGTTGTAAAATTATTATTTTTCCGTTCACGGATGTAAATATATATATTATTGAAATGCGTCCTTTGCAGAAATAACCTGACATATCAGATTGATCTTTTCAAGATTAACAAAGTTATTTAAGAAATATTTTATTTATTATTTTAATGAACAAATTATAGTTTAAATGTATTTACCTGGTGAGGATTTTTATGTGTGCACATGTGATAATAAAATTTTTTTTTAAAAAAAAAAAGCAAATTAAGCTGAAATGTTGAATAGACTAATACTTCAGGTAGCAGAAGGCCTAGGAATGTTAGCTACAAGGGCTTTTATCTTGTATTATATCCCTGCTAGTTGTACTATGGCATATTTTAATGTAGAACGGTTTGAAAATAACATTTCCTGGCTATATTCATAAAAATATTTTAAAATGACATTTTTTTATTCCGAAAGGAAAAAAAATTACAAAATACCTTTTTTTTAACCTTCTTAATCAAAATTTTCTTAGTAAAGTGTTTGAAAAAATAACATACGTATTTACAAACATGTTTAATACATATGAGTGAATGAAACAACTTAATTTTATGTATTCATTCCATCATAAGTTTTTACATTAGTCATGTGAGTATTAACTAGTCATGTGAGTATTCTGTTAAATAGGTTTCACATAAAATGCTTGTTGAATTCTGTATGTAGAGACCTTTAGATTTCTACAATGTGTTCTCTATACATTCCAGGGGTGATTGTGTCACAAAGTTAAAAACCCTGAAAATTTTATGTGCAAGATATCAATTTATATTATGTTTCATATTTAACATAATTTTTTTAAAATAAGATTTATAATTAAATTACCTACCGATGAAGAATATCGCACTTTTATAGCAACTAAGTTAAGAAAAAAGAAAAATCGCAATATAGCATTTTAAAATTGTGTGAATATGAATCGCAAAGTTCGATTTTAAAATCTGGAGAATATGAATCTCTATGTTGGATTTTAAAATCGTGATATTGGATTTTAAAATAGCGATAATGGTTTTTGAAAATGAATGAATACAAATCTCGATGCATGATTTTTAGATTACGTGAATACGAAACGCAATGCATAGCTTTTTGAATCCCGTATAAATATGAATGTTTGATATTGCAAACGCGGGAATACAAATCGCAATATTGCATTTAAAATACGAGTGAATATGAATTGTGACATTGAACTTTTAAATCGCGTGAATATTAATCGCAATGTACAATTTTTAAATTACGTGAATACGAATCGCATCGTGTAACTTTTAAATTAGGTAAGTACAGAGATCAATGTTTGATATTTAAAATCACGTGAATAGGAACCGCGATAACAATGGATTCCAGCGCAATTCCAAATATTCAGAATGGCAAAAATCCGTGAAATCGCATGTATGTAAACGTCTCGTTAACGTGATTTGGCGAAAGTTTCAAAATTTAAATTTTTGACTGCGGAATTCCGGGAAGATTTCTTCGGGTTATATTTTTGATTAACGAAAGTCCAAGAACTAACGCTCTTGTGAAAAGCGGAATTTCACTATATTTCCGTAAATATCATTTGCCCTGCTTCTAATTTTTAGACCCGGAAGGATGATATGAAAATTCCGGGGTACACCGGGGAATTTGGATATTTTGAATAGTAATGTTACATGAGGAAAAATAGGTAGAAGTGCGAGAAAATTCTGAAAAATGTTAAACATTTTCTGAAATGTTCCAAATGCATTTTAAACATAACAAGATTCATTTAAATGGGTGGCCACAGAACAAGAAGAGCAGGAAAAAATTTGTGAAAATGTTCAGGAAATTAGCAAAAATATCCGAAAAGTCAAGGAAAATTTATTTAATTTGGGTTTGAGGTGCCTAAAATTCCAATATTTTTTTGCAAAATCCCAATATTTTAATAATTAATCTTATAATAATTCTTTCAGACAAAATTATTTATTTTCAATTCTAATGGAAAATATAAATATTTTGTAATATATTTTATGTATATGAATAAGGAACAACTGAGACATTAATAAGAAAAATTTATGAAAACAGTTACAAAAGTCAGGGAAATTCGATGAAATCAGACTGAAAAAGTCAAAGAATTTTTTTTTCTGAAATTTTTGGTCGCCCTGTTTAAGTATTTTTATATGAAGAGTAGTTAGAACTCTTAACCTTTCTCTTTATATTTATGATTATTTCCACAGTTAAAGAAATGATTACTGATGCCATAAAATATAAATAACTGATTTCTAATAATGGGAGATTTATTTGTGGGAAGAAATGATGTTTTTAATATAAAAAGATGAAATGTGGAAAAATCAGAGAATCTGGTTGAAATACTTTTTATCTTGAAATAATCTCTCAAGAAAGAAAATTTATTTTAAAATTCTTATAGCTAGTTTTTTGTAACAAATTTTATGTAAAAGAACAAGAAATAACTCAAATTTATGCCACTAACTACAAAAATCAGGGTGTGTTTTTCTGAGTGTTGGTGACCACCTTGATCTGAGTACAAATTTTTACCCCATGAGCGTGAGTTTATGAATGTTAAATGTTTTTGAATTCATATTATTTTTGACTTTGGAAAAAAAATTTAAGCTTTTCTTTTACACATTCTCATATGGAATGTTTGTGCATCATAGAAATTCAACAAAATCATGTATTCCATTGTCATGTTTTTTTTTTACTAGAAGTGACTCATTTGGTTAATGTTTTGTATGAGCTAAATATAGAAAATAAATAACCAAATTAGTGACTGATTGTAATCTTCATTGTCTATAAATTGACGATTCTGAGCTTACATTCCTTCAAAAAAATTAAGAAAAAAAGATATATCTACTTATTCCAAATGTGCCAAAATAATCTATCATTTTAATACAATGTCTTCTAATTGTGTAAATCTGAAAATTTATTTTTTCTTCTGCAATCTATGCTGGTTTAGGCAGTTTTTTTTTAAAAAATCATCAATCAATCATCAATTTTTATAATAAGAAATCTGTTTACATTGATAACATTGAAATAATATTAATAAAAAATATCTCAATAGTAATTACTGAAAAATAATACTAATATAAATTAATGCTATCTTAATAATAGTAATACAATATATAACCGAAAAAACACTTAAGACTCAACCAAACTCTTTAATTTCAATACAATAATAAAGCAAAAGAAAAATAATTTAATAGGAAAATGACTTT